TAACGGGTACAAAAAGAGAGTTAAATGAATTTGAACAAAGCGACAACAGGACAATTTTTTTGTGAAAATGTTTTCGAAACGGTAATTATAGAAAAATATTACTAATGGTTATAAAATATAGAGGCTGGCGAAGACGATATACAGAATACAGGTACAAAACCAATATGGCAAAAGGGCAATATTTGAACAATGAACAAAAACTATATTCGGAATTTTATATAATATATATACATGTAAAAAATAAATGTTCTTTGAACAAACAACAACAAATGAAAAATGCGTTGGAAACAAAACTTTTTATCATTGTCAGATATTGATTCTATCCGGAAGTAATAAACAATAGTTTTGATTGATAAAAGCTACTCGTAAATATGAACGTAAAGGCGATAAAAACTGCAATTGAGGGATCAGTTTGGTAAAAGGAAAGAAGTTGTACAAATTGTTCGCGATAAACATTTTTAAACGATGTAATATTTAATATGGTAAAATTAACAATAATAATTTACATGTATTACAGGTGTTATTGTCCTGGGATTTTTAAATTCTTAGAAATATCAAAGTGGTAAAATGCGTATAAAAGGTTTAGAAATAAGAAGGCGAACAGTATGACAGCAATAATGTGAATGTGAATTTGAAATAAAAAATATAATATTAAAATATAATAAATGACCTTGGCGAAATAGCATGGTAGAATTTTAAATAATTTATTTATTTATTAAACTGGATTTTATTTTATTTAGACGTGAAATGCATATGCATAAATAAATCAATAGTAAATGCTATTTAGATATAAAACAAATGCAGTAAAAATTTTTAATATAAAATTGGCATTGTTTTTATAACAGTTCTAGACTAATTATAAGTTGCTTAACATTTTTGATTAATAAGACGGTAAAGATGTTGATTTAATATACAATGTAAAAGCGATGTTATAAAAAATGTTATTTCTTTTATTATTTATTATTATTATTTGTTATATGTAGTTGCTAAATGGTTTACTTTAATACCATGGTAAAGACTGTGCGGACATAAAAAACATAGTAGTGATTAATTTTACTGAGAAATATGATAAAACATTACAAAAAATCGTGATTAATATTTTAAGTCAACAGTATAGTGGTTAGAGTTAGAGAAAATCGGAGGTATATTATTTTATGAAAACGTCATTATTGCGTGGTGTAATTTCTAGCGGTATATTGGTTCAAAACGTTCAAATTGTTGGGTAAAAATAAAGCTTAAAAAATTGTTTTTTTTTTTTTTCAAAAATGTCTCAGATTGGCAGAAAATTGAAGTTCCAGAGGGGCCACTGGTACCGGCTACGTCGCTCGTCCACAAATAAAATTATCATTAAGCGTTTAAAAAACGATACGGTACAAAACGAATATAGTAACAGTAAACAATCAACAAAAACGATAAAAAATCAAAGCGGCAGCAAGAAACTATTGTTTTAATGTTTTAAAAACGGTAGTGATTTCAAAAATTGCGGTTCTCTAGGCGGGACGTTGTTGAAAACTGTAAAGAAGGGTTATAATATACATGTAAAACGATATAGGTACAAAACGAATACAGTAACAGGAAAGCGGCAGCATTAAGTTAAAGTATTTTTTGTGAATTCTTTTTTGAAACGGTAGTTTTTTTTGAAAAACAGCGATTCTATAAACGGAAATTATTTTGAGAATGGTTATAATATACAGATGCATGTAAAGACGATATAGAGAATACAATGACAAAATGAATGTGGTAACACGAAACGCTTTAAACAATAAACAAAAATTATAGGTAAAAAGTCAGAACTACAGAAGGAAAGAGGTGGAACGAATTGTTAATGAAAAGCAAATGGAAACGGCCATTTTTAATACAAATAAAATAACGATGCAGGTAAAAACGGTAGAGAAGGTACGAAAGATATGTAAATATTTTTTTTGTACTCTGTGGAATTTTACAGGGTTTATATAATAATAAGGTTGACGGAAGATGGCCGTAAAATTTTAAATGTCAACATTTAATTGATGGTTTAAACGGCGTTGCGAACTATAATTTTTTAAACTGTGTGATACTAATTTTATCTATTGGGTTGTTCGGAAAGTCATTTCGTTTTTTTTGGGGAACATGAAAGACAGTTTTCGTATAATGAATAAATATTTTATTAAATTATATATTGGCCATTCTGGTCCAACACCTTTTGCCATCTTTCTGGCAGTAACATAATTCCCCTCTCATAAAAGTTTTGGTCCTTGCTGGCAAAAAACTGGTTCAGGTGGTTTTTGACATCTTCATTTGAGGTAAAGGTTTTGCCATCCAAAAAATTTTGCAGGGACCGGAACAAATAGTAGTCGGAAGGCGCCAAATCTGGAGAATATGGTGGATGTTGCAGTACGTCCCATTCAAGCTGTAAAAGGTTTTGGCGAGTGACCAAACTTGTGTGAGGTCTCGCATTATCCTGGTGGAACACTACACCCTTCCTGTTGATTAATTCGGGCCTCTTCTCTTTAAGTGAATCATTCAATTTGTCCAGTTGATGACAATAGACTTCTGAATTAATCGTTGTATTGCCCGGCAAAAGCTCAAAAAAAACGATTCCTTTGACATCCCACCAAACGGAGGGCATCACCTTTTTTTGGTGAGTGTTGGCTTTTGACACGCTTTGAGCCGGTTCATCTTTTCTGCTCCATGACCTCTTGCGTTTAACATTAACTGTAATAATCCGCTTCAAAAATGGATCATTTTCTTGACGTCTGAGGAGCGAATCACACACGTCAACGCGACGACACAAATTTCGCTCCGTAAGGACATGGGGCACCCACACATCGAGCTTCGAGGTTAAGCCCATGCCTTTCAAATGGCCATAAACAGTCAATTTCGACAAATTTAATCTCTCACCGATCTCTCGTGTGGTTATTCGCCGATTTGCATCAACTAATGCCTTTATCGCATCTTTGTCAGCTTCGACCGGCCTTCCAGACCGTGGTGCATCTTCGACATCAAGATGGCCTGATCGAAATTTTGCAAACCAGTTCTGGCACTGGCGTACTGTTAACACGCCTTCTCCATACACATCCGTCAATTTTTTTCTCGCTTGGACAGCATTTTTACCTTTTCTGAAGTAAAAAAGTAAAATATGACGAAAATGCTGTTTATTGCTCTCCATATTTAAAAGGGCACCAACCAAAAACTACTGCGTAGAATTAATAGAACTTTTTCGCACACAAGCCTTGCAATATCAGCTCTCAAGACATATAATGGTTATGCGGCTTAAGTGCGAAGTTGGTTTCGAAAAAACGTAATTAAGTCCTCTGACGAGAAAAAACGAAATGACTTTCCGAACAACCTTATAGAAGTTTAAAGGATAGTTTTCGAGGAGGTTTCATTTGAGTTTAAGGTAAACGTGCGCATAAATACGAAGCTGAAGTCAGTAAGAAATAGAAATGAAAAAGCAGTGTCGTAACAGTGGTACAATTTGTCAGTGCTAAAAACGGTAATTTTAACAAGTTTTTGAGATTATATCTAAAAGTTGCTTAAATGTTTTCGTAAAGCTGATAATGGTAAAAAGTTCATGTGAAGGCAAGAAATAAGTTTAATCTAAAATTTGCTTAAATATTTACTATGAATAAATATGAAGGTAAAGAAAATATAAGTAAAAATATATACTGTAACGGGAAAGCAGTTGTATAAATATTTGATAAGAGTCATTATGAATGAACTATTTGAAGAAATTTAAGATTGTAATTAATAATTATAAAGTTGATTAAAAAACTTCATAAATATGAAGGCCAAGACCCTGCAAGCAAGTAACAAGTCTGGTTGCAGGAGGAAGGTATATATTTATTCAAATAGTAGTGTTATTAAACTTGTTTTTTTAAAGATTTTAAGGTTGATAACTCTTAAAAGTTGCTTATAGGTTTTTATTAATATAAAGATATAAAGGGTATTGGTAAAATGCCAATGTGATAGCAGGAAAAAGTTTTTAAACAAATTGTCAACGAAAAGATATTGAAAACAGATTTGATCGGAAAGTTGCTTAAAGATTGTTAAAGGCGATGCAGAAATGTTGTGTGGTTTCATAAAGCCGAACGTTTAAATGATACACGTAAAAAAACAAATTCCGTAGTAGGAACGAAGCTCATGGAAGGGGTAATTTCAAAAACGGCAGGATGGTCTTCATAAATATATAGTGAATGATGATACAGCATACAGATAAACAAAAATGTGTATTACGGTCTGGATATAAATATTTAATAAAAAAAATATTTAAAAAAAATAAAAATATTAAATAAAATATTTAATAAATTTTTGAAGAGATTTGAGTTGATCTTAAGGTAAAAGATGCTCATAAAGATGAATGCGGTAAAAATACTAGTGAAAGATCAGTGTCATAATAGGAAAGACGGTTTAATAATAGTTTATGCGATGTATAACCAAGTTTTATCAAACTTAAAAAAACAAATGCGGCAGTCATAATATGTCCAATAAATAATTAATGAGATATCGTTGTTATTAAAGGAAATTAAATTATAACACCTAAAAATCGAATCTTTTTTTTTTCTAAATATGACATAAAAATTAATTTCAATAAAAAATCTCATGAACAGCATTAAAGACGGTTATTTTTAATACGATTTGGGATCATTTTATCCAATAGTTAGTTGGTTTAATATAAAATATGAGAATAAAGGTAATAAAAAGGTGTTGAATATAGCGGATTTAAAGAGGTTTGAAATTAAAAATAAACTTACCAAAGTGATTCTAAACAGTTTTTATAACAATGGAACTAAAAACGAGCCGCCGTAAGAAACAAATCATGTAATACTTGTAAGATTATTTCGAAACAGTTTGAGATTGATAATTGATTAAAAAAAATAATACAATTTAAATCACTCCTAGCCATCGAATTTTAAACTGACAGCAAACTGGTGATTATTGGGTTATAAATAATAGGTATGAAAATGTGGTAGGAAAATTGTTGCTAATTCAAACACTTGGCTAATATTTCGTGGTTGTGGTTAGATAGAGAATTCTTTGAAAATGCCCCAAAGAAGCATGCGTAAAAATTTATATATAGATAGAATATAGAGTAGAGAAATAAGAGGAACAATATGATAGCAAAAAGACTTAGATGATAAATTTGAGAAAAACCAACTCGTCGCAAACGTTAATTCATTCATAATTTAAGGAAGAGGAGGTGGGCGGGACAACTAAAAAAAAACAGAAAAATAAATAATGTTAGTAATGACAAGCGCAATGTTCACATAATATCAACCAAGTTGATAAGAATACGTTGTTTTTTGGAAATACATTGACGCGATATATTTTTTAGTCTTTATACGACAACTGATGATTATTTTCGATCGAGGCACATTGTGAAATTGTGGTTGATCTGGACATGTAATCAACGATGCCAAATATGTATGTATGTAAATATATGTGTGTAATGGTAAAAAAATGCATTTTCTTGCGTTTATGTTCAAAAAAAGGAAAGCGTATGGAAACAATTAAAGCAAATCGAATTGTATATGCGAAAAAAAAACTTGACATGAAATGCAGGAATAAATATGTCAGTAATCGGAGAATTTATTTATGAAGGTGTTGAAAGTGGTGAAATCAATAATAATTTCCTAAGTCTTGAGCTCAAGAATCATTAAGCAGACAGAATCTAAAGGTATGTTGTAAAACAGGCTTGAATTAACACAAAATTGTAAAAATAAATGGAAACACCCGAAAGTATTACGTAATACGTGTATAATAGTGTAATATAAAAGTATGATGTCGATTTAATGTGATGTGATTTAATTGAATATATAAAAGCAGATGTTCAAAAAACTGACAACTAACAAATCACAAAACTTAAATCTGTTATGCGTTTTTGTAAAATGTGTAACGTAAAATAATACCTTTTTTGTCTAATGATTAATACGTTTATATGTAGTAATCGCTAGATAATATATAATACCTTGCTGTAGATATGTGTTATACCTTTTTTTTTTATAAAAAAAAAGTAGTTCCTTTCTCTTCCTTTAATTCATTTCATTGTTCAATAATTTTTTGTACGATTTTTGTATTCAGTACTTATGATTTTCAACTCAATGTTTAGTTTTTCTTCCTAGTTTTGATATTAATATTGTAACTTCAACGTTCATAATTAAATTTCAATTTTGGATAGATATCATTATAATCTTATATATTTAGATAGCGTGCATGTACTTTTTTTCATGTTTTTCTGCATTCTGTGTGTGACAGCTAGTAAAAATGGTCATTAAATTTATCGGAAATAAACCTATCAACTCGAGCGGAACAAAGAAAAGCTAACCACAACTAATCACAAACCAATTAACACAGTTATAAGGGATAGAGAGTATTAAAGTCCTAAATGGTGAATTTATTCTTTGGAAAGTTATATCGAAGATACGTAAAATTAAACCAACAATTAAAATAGAAAGAGAAGGTATCATTAGAGGTACTTTAACTTTTGTGCTTGATTTTAGTGATTGTTATTTGAGTGATTATTTTATTGATTGCGCTTGAAAGAATTTGGCAGGTAAATGCGAAAATCGGAAAAACGAAAAATAAAAAAATTAATAATAATAAGTTAATTAGTAAGTTTTTATCCAAATTCGATTATCAAGAGCATTTTACTAAAGAGGAAAAAATAAGTAATTTAAACTTTAAAAAATCCACCGGTTAGATAAAAAATACTGCATGCATTCTGTAGCATAAAAGTAAAACAATATATATTGAAATTTTTTATCTCATTACGGTGTGCATTTCCAAGGTAGAGGAGGTGGGCGGGCCAATTACAAAATAAAAAAATAACGGCAATACTAAAAATTTATATTATGGATTCATTAAAAAAATTACACAAAAATACACTAATTAATTATGCTAAATAATATCAACCCAGTGTGCATTTTTAAGGTAGAAGAGAAGGTCGAAAGAAGAGAAAAGTAAACTAATGACAGCAAAATAAATTAAGTGTTGCCAAAAATACTGGGCATGAATTTTATTTTAATATCAAATTTGTTAAATCGTGCATTTGAAAGGTAGTGGAGGTGGGTGGGCCAATTAGAAAAAAAAAAAAACAAATGATATATGACACTAAAAAATCAATTACAATTAATTCCAATTATTAAGCACTAATTATTAAATTCAATTAATGACAAAAGGTTATGGTGTTCCCAAAGCTACTCGAACGAATTTCAATCGAAGCCTAGAATTTCTTGGTCGCGCATTTATAAGGTACTGCAAGTAGGCGGGCTACTATATAAAAAAAATAAAAAATTAAGATGTATCCTTAGATACTCGGATGAATTTTAATTTAATATCAAATATTTACAAGATAGTGAAGATGGATCAGCCAATTGAAAACAAAAACAAAATATAAAATATGTATTTTCGACATGCTTACCTATTCTTACAATAAATTATTGTCGACATAAATATAGTTTTATTTACCCCCTCCCTGCAATAAAAAATACAATTCAAACAATCGCATTTCAACTAATAACACTAATTTATTTTTTTTTAATTTCACATTTGTATTAAATACGATTTTCTAAAAAAAAACGTCTTTTCACTTGCTTGCAATGAAGACGCGACGGAAACAAAATTAATTTATTATTAATAACTTAATTCGAAGCGCTGTATAAGGCCAAAAAAAACAACACAATAGTTGCTTAAATAACGCTTACTCCGTGACAGAAAGAGCAAAAATAACAAATTTTAAAAAAATCGTAAAAAAATGGGGGCTAGATTGGCGCTCTGACCAACTCCGCAAATGAAGCTTTCCAAAAATACCCGCCTCCATAATAATTATAGTTGTAAACATCGAACGGCAGTAATTTCTTTATTTATTGTACTGGAAATAATTTGATAGATAAATGCGGAATTTGGAAAAACGAAAAATAGAAAGTTAAAAGAAAAAATCAAGACTACGAAATTTTTGGGTAAATTTTGCCTAATTAATTTCAGTAAGTTTTTATCAAAATTTGTTTACCCAGTGCATTTTAATAAAGAGGAGGTCGGTTACATATTACATATGTAAACAAAAATATATATTGAAATCTCTTTACGGTGCTCATTTGAAAGGTTTGAAAAAAAGACAATAAATAGCAGTATTAAATTATCGCTTCATTAAAAATTACATAAAACTAAACGAATTCATTATGCCAAATTAATATCAACTCAGTGTACATTTTTAACGTAGAGGAGGTGAGTGGGCCAATTAAAAAAAAATCGTTTAATACAAAAAAGTAAACTGGTGATAGCAAAACAATGAAATAAAGTGTTTAATCGGGCATTTACAAGGTAGTGGAGGAGGGTGGGCCAATTAAAAAAAAAAAACAAATGATCTATATAAATTATATTAATGACAGTAGTAAATAATTATTAAATTCAATTAAGAACAAAACAAACTTATGGTGTTTGTTCCTCGTGCATTTACAAGCTAGTGGAGGTGAGTGGGTCAATTAGAAAAAAAAAACAATAAACCGCTATAACACCAAGAAATGAACTACTGACTCATTACAAAACAAAAATTAATCCAATATCAAATATTTGCAAGGAAGTGAAGGTGGATGGGTGAAAAAAAAGTATATTTAGGCCTACAAAAAAATAATGAACTTAAAATGAAATCTATCCGTAACATAAAAATAACTGAATGAATTCTGTAAAGACAAAGGTAAAAAAATATATATGAAATATCTTTACGGTGCGCATTTCCCAGGTAGAGGAGGGGTGGGTGAGTCAATTAAAAAAAAAACAATGAACAACAGTAGTTCTAAAAATTGAAATTATCGATTCATTAAAACAATTACACAAAAATGCACCAATTCATTATGATAAATTAATATCATCAATACATTTAATAGTCAAAAATAAATTAATGATAAACCAAAAAATACTCGGCATGAATTTTAATTCGATATCAAATTGGTTTAATCGCTTAATGACAAAGAAGTGGAGATCGATGAGTCAATAAAAAAATAAATGATATTTAAGACTAAAAAGTAAATTAAATGACAAAATAAAAAAATAGTTGAACGAATTGTAACCTGTTCCTCATGCATTTACAAGGTAATGGCGGTGAGTGGACCAATTAGAACAAAAAGCAATAAACCACTATAACACCAAGCAATTAATTACTGATTCATTACAAAACAAAAAATTAAAGTGTTCCCAAAAATACTATAAATTATTTGAATGGTTTTTAATCTAATATCAAATATTTACAAGAAAGTGATTGATTGGGTGTGCCAATTGAAAAAAAAACAAAATGTGTATTTCTAGTAACATAAATATATTTTTTTTATTGTTCTAATAAAAATGTAAAATGTGTTTTTAACTTACCTACCCATTGTTACAATAAATGATTGTCGACATTAATATAGTTTTATTTACCCTTTCCCCACATAGAAAAAAAAGTATCCATTTGTTATGGACTATTTAAAAAATTTAGTCAAACAATTAAAATTAATAACAGTATTTTTTTTTATTTCGGAAATTATATTAATTATTTGTATTAAATACAAACCTCTAGAAAAAAACGTCTTTTCATTTACCTACAATGGTGGAGGCAAACATTCATTTATTATTTATAACATGTGCAAATTCGAAACACTTTATAAGATAAAAGAAAATATTTTTTCAAAACACGCAGAAATAACAATTTGTAGAAAAAAGTGAAAAAAGTAGCGGCTAGATCGGCGCACTTTCCAACTCTGCAATGGGCAACGATTTCCAAAAGTCCACTGCTCCAAAATGTCTGACGCTTCGCATGGAAATATCGTCGGAATCGCCTATGTGCAGGTAGTCTATGTCGTCATTTCCGGGTATCACCGGCGACCATTTTTTATCCTCGAAAGATGGCACCCTTTAAATTCACAGATTTGCGAAATGTATTCAGACAAGATCCGACAAGCACTTATTATTTGCAGAGTACACACGTTCTAAGCGAATCTTTAAAAATTTTGGCTTGTTTTAGAATTTTTCTCAATTTTAAGTTTACGTGTGATAAAACGAACCCTTTCAATTGACATGAAATCGGTCTTCATTTATAATGTCGTTCGTTATGAAACACTTGCAATTCGTAATTGTCGAAACTTGACCGTTACGTCATAAACGCTACGCCGACGTCCATTTTTTTATTAACAGCGAGTTTTCCTTAGTAAGTAAATATTTTTCGGCAGGCAATCATTTTCAACAGACAAAAATTCATATATTCCCAACGACATCAGTAAGGGGTTAAATCTTTTTCACTGATATTTTGGCCATGATCAAATTGATGACGTAATGGTCAGTTCGTCTACTAATTTATGGTCGCGGAATACAAACCCAGTCTTGGCATAAGTTGATACGAGTGATGTCAAACTATCAGCCATTTTATCGTCTGAATCTTCCAACATGTCTGGCGTCCCTATTATCTCATAGATCAATCGAGCGTCGTCCGTATGAGCGACTCCTTTAACCAAAACAATTATACATAGTATAGTACTTGTTGCCCCAGTAAGAGCGATGATGTAGGGTAAAAATAAAAAAAACAATAAAGAAACTGTAGTCCCGCTTACGAATTGTACACCCTTGCAAAATCTTTACGTTTTGATTTTTCTTTATTGGATAGATTTCTCAAAGTAAAACTTTATTTTCTTATTGCTTCATCCTAAAGTCATAGTCGACTGGAATCATTTAACAAAGGAGGGAGAAGAGAGACGTACTTTAGGAATTTTTTATAGAATAAAATAATGAATTCTTATTAGGAGTACTTAGACCCCATTAATTTCAGTACAGGATGTTTGAAATACGTTGCTTTTATGAAGTCATTGCCGACTAGTACTATTTTTTGATGCCAACTATCGAGAAGCGGTATTAGGATTGCTTTAAGAATAAATTGTCAACGAAACCTTGTTCAGGACACCATAAAACCTGACAATACTGGCGTAAATATTAATCACAGTATTGTCGTTCCCCTAAGCTAAATAATTCTTGCTTATTTTAATGAAAATCCTTAATCTAATATCAGGAACGCAAATGTCAACTTACATATTTCAAAAACTGAAGACTATTGGAAAAAGTGGAAAAAAAGTCCAAAATCCTGCATACTCTGCAATTTGGCGACTGCGAAAGATGAATAGAATTTTTTTATGGCTTATTTTTATTTCATTGAAGATAATAAATGGTACGCTAACAAGTCCTAAGTGCGTGAAATTGACTTTTTGTCTTATATGTGTTATAAATAAATGTTTCTTATCTAGGTACTCAAACCAAATGAATTTTTCAACAGTGTGAGTTTAGTCAAATATCTCGGACATTGTTCCCAAATACATTCATTTCATCATTCATTCCGTAGTCATTTATGAGAATTAGTTTGTATCTACATTTTTTCTACCTTTCGAATACTATAGAATTATTAAAAAAATATTTGAAGTCATTATTTTTGAAATTTGTATGTTTAAAATTTATATGTGAAACTTGCTAGAAATTGATTGACTGAATTGGTTTCAAAGTACTCCTCAATAAGAATTAGTTGCCAATTTATTCTTTAAAAATTACTTCTCTCTCCTCTCGCGTTTGTTGAAGAAATAATCAAAACAAAGTTTTGGTACAAAATAATTGGTATCTTATTTTCATAAATTCTGCCATAATCTGTTTATTATTAACTATAGTCAGAGTGAGCAAAAGTATTTTAAAGCTAAGAAATTTGAAATGGTTAAGAAAATATAGCTTTTTTTAAGTATTAACTACTTTTATTCATATTTTAATATAGAATAATGATCACGAGGTCTGGTTTTAATTGGGTTGTTAGGCTCTTATTTGACGACGTAATGACATCGTTGCAAGTTTTTTTTTTGCGATTAGGTGAGATTGTTAGCCCAGGAGAAGCAATTTTTAATGAAGCCTTTCTGCAGTTATCAACATTTATTTCCAAACGTGTTCGAACGCCGTACTTTCCGTTCAGAGGTGGAGCAGTGACCATTAAACAAAAAACAGATTGAATTTATCTCTCATTTTAGACATATTTTTTCTTGGAAGATTTACCTTTTTCAAATTTTTGGGACACAAAAATAAATGTGTGAAGTGTCTCTAGGAAAATTTGCCAAAAATAAAACAAAAAAAATGACACCCTACGAACTTTTTTCTCCTAATTTTAGAGATTTGTTCAAAATCTCGAGATGTCGTTTAGTAGAAAATTCTCGTTTGTGTAGTATAGTTTGTCGGTAGATATAAGAAAGTGACCAATTGCTTTTGAATGGCATTATCCAAGGGTGATCAATAGCATACAATGCAACAAGATTATTACCTAAAGTTTCGGAATTTAAATTCAGGTAAAATTGTGGTCCGTAATAGAAAATAATTTTATACCTACCTGTGTTTAATATTCTTTGGTTTGGTATACTACTTAGTTTAAGTTTATTAGTAATCATTTTTATTTCGTGTGTAATACAGCGTGTGTTGAATCGTGTGCGAATTATGCAAAATATGTGCGAGTCTAGTGTGTCTCAGGAAATGCTCCCGCCCAAATGTAGAAAACACTCTATTGAGACTAAGGAAGTTATAAACAATGTTTATTTGAGTCTCATTGAACGTGGCGCCAGCAAGGAAGCATCTTTAGAAGAAACGGCCACATTGACGAAAATTCCAACATCAACTGTATGGAAAATTGTGAATAATCCCATTTCAGCGAGGAGAAAAAAAGAAGCGATGCTGACATTTTCTCTAGTGCAGATGAAAGTGATCAAGACATAATACGGCGTAAAATTAACCAGTTATACGAGGAACAAAGCCTATATTAGATATCTTAATTAGTTAGATTGAAAAAGATGAATCCGGTGTTAAATATCTTATGGAAGTGTATTCAACACGTGGTTTTAGATATTAAAAAATTGACAAAAGGCCGGTCTTAATGGAATCTTTTAGAATTCGGAAATGGCGACTGGAATATCTAGAAAAAATTTGGATTTACAGAGAACAACAAAGGTCAATTATTTACTTGGATGAAACCTGGTTCGACGCTTATGATACCCCGGAAAAGGGTTGGGTTGACTCAACTGATAAGTGTAACAAACGCGCCATCAAAAAGAGGTAAAAGAATAACTATTTTGCATGCTGGCTCTAAAGATGGTTGGATTCCAAATGCACTTTCTCTGTCTGCGAAAAATATTAAAGATTCTTCTCTGGATTACCATGAAGACACCACCGCTGATTTATTTGAAAGTTGGTTTAAGAACAAACCAGTTTCAAACATTCCTCCTAATAGCGTAATTGTAATGGACAATGCAAGTTATCACAGTAGACAGTTGACTAAAACCCCTTCCCCATGTGACACAAAAGCAACAATCCAAAACTACATGTATAATAACGACATTTATTTTCACGAAGATTATACCAAAAAGCAATTAATTGGGGTTCTACAAAGCTTGAACCTACAAAAGGAATACGTCTGTGATAATTATGCAAAAAATCTAGGGCATACAGTTTTAAGGCATCCACCCTACCACTGTTTGCCACCAACTGAAATCTGCCATTCGTCGTAACAATGTTTTCCCCCGTGTTAACTCCAATGTCCTCAAACATATAGAAACCGAAGTTTTTAACATCCCTCAACAAAGTTGGGCACATTCTGTTAAGCATATAGAAAAAGCAAAACAATCATATATCCATATTACAAATAATATAGAACAAATAATAATTAGAACAGGCAATGATAGCGATAGTGATACTGATATAATATGTTAAGTGATTTAAGTAGGTAATAAAAACAATTTGTAATTTTATTTTATGGCTTAGTCTCTTTCCTAACAAAACCCCAAATAATTAAATTCTAAGCAAAGTACGGCCATATTTCATTCTTACAGCTTGTCCGGGTCTTTGCATAATTCGTATCACTTTCTTATATCTATGAACAGACTTTACCATCACCAGAACAACGGTAAACACAGTAGCAATTATATCGTATTTTTTCCGATAATGTCAAACAATTCTAATTAAAACTTCTCTAGATTTTCACTATTTTTTTACGTGAATTATTTGTTTAAATGTCTAATAAATATGAAAAATGATAAATATACTGCGTATATTTTAAATTTATAAAAAGTTGAAGTTTTTATTTCGGAAACTATGCGAAAAAAAATCCACCTTAAGTTCGCTATATTGAGAAAACCGATGCTTATCACTGGACGTTACCTTTTCTCAGCGTTCCGAACAAATTAGGAATTTTCACGTGGTAGGTGAAGAAATAATAATAAACTGGCGATTTGACAGCCCGCGCGTGTAACCTGACTGCTTCTTCAGCGTCCACGGTAAATAACCGATCCGTGAAAATCTAAAATCGTCCACGAACAAACCTATCATTTCAAACTACTTCGTTTATCTAATAATAATATACCTCCACCAACGAGAAAATATTCTTTCTAGTCAGCGGTTCGTTTCCCAAATAATGTTCCCTTATTTTTTGCATCACGTCAAGCTGATTGTTTTCGTCGACGGTGTTTTGCAAATCGAGCGAGTACAGCATGGTGCGATTCCAGTCTTCGTCCACCTCCTTTATTTTGTTCAGGAATACGAAAACTGCAAGAGAAATAATTTTTTCAAGTCCCTGGAGAAAAATAACTTTGTCTCAAAGTATGTCGAATAGAATAGAATTTGGCTTGACTCAGTCGACAAGAAGAGGAATTACTACATCTTAAATATTATTTTTCATATATAATCATAGCAAAATTAAAGAAATTTTAGCCATAGAGGTTGAAAATATCCAGTCTACATTCATTTCTGATAAAAACATCTTGAGGTCTGAAATAATTAATCTGCTTAATTATAGCTCGCATGATAACTTTCGCTTCAATCATCGCATCGCATCACTTGCACTTGTTAAGTAAAATTAAAGATGAGGACCCCTTGTTGCCAAGGCTGATAAGGGCTTATAATGAAGAGGAAGACACACTTGGATAAGATTATGGACTTTTTGCCTATGGAATTCTGTAAATTCTGTATTAACACCTAAATTTGTCAAAACCTATAATGAAAGATTATATATATCCCATGAATCCCAAAACAACTTTATTATATGGGCTGCCTAAGAAATATGTTTTGTTACAATCTAGCTGGAAGGCTTAACATAGTTCTTAGGAACAAAACCGACTTTCATAGTATATATTCTAATCACAAACACAGTGGAATTGATCAGCTGCTTGAAAAATGTTGACATGCCCGGATAGGTGCTATGTCGATTTTTTTTTATATCAAAAATTTATAGTCAAGCGTTCCACCATCTGAGTGCACTACTTAGTGAAAGTTGTCTACTTCTTCTTTCGACCACTGCGTTACAACAAAATTTCTTTGTGATCAATAATAATTTTTTTTACGTAAACTGCGGGTCTATCAATGGATTTGCCTATCACCTTTTTACCTTTTCTCGATCTTCAATTCGTTAAGAAAAGTAATAAAAGTGAATTCCCGTCTACTGACAATGTGATACAATTTTTCTCCAACTCTCGACGGTTATCTACTTTGTTGTATCAATAAGTTAATTTACAAATTTGCTAACAAATTGTCATATTGTATAATAAAATCAAAACCATCAGAACATAAATCCCAATGCTTGAGTTAATTTCATTGCATCTACCTAAATTGTCGAAGAATAGGAATTGAACTTTACTATCTAAGATAAACATTTACAATTTATAAGATAAAGATAGATTTTTTTTATTTAAACTGTGAGAAGTGAAATGCAGTTTATATCGAACAGGATGATAGAAAAATCACCATCAGCTTGCTTGAACGTCTTGGTTGGACGAAAAAGTACAGGGTCAATGATGTGACAATCATGACCAAATCTGTTTTTTTGCTACTCATTTAAATTGCATCGGAGATGACAGACTAGAGAAGAGGTTGTGGCTTAACTTTGCAAGATCACGCCAGAAAAAAGACATTCAAGATAGAATGTCCGCTACAAGCACAAAGAAACAAAAGAGGAAGAGAAAAATGGCTGATGGTGCCCGTTTAAGCGAAACACGTGTGATACTTTATAAATAATAATTTTTAAGACACCGACCGAGTTTTAGTTGATGGTTTATAGTTCCTTGGCCGCAATTATTGAAATAACTTGCCGACGGAAATAAAACATGACACTAAATATATGCAAATTATCAACAATTACGTAAATTGGTACGTTTTATTTTTTCTTAATTAAGGTTAATTATAATGGGATCTATGTTATTGTCTATAATTAAAAATAAATACAATTTTGCAACAAATATTCTTGAATTTCAATTTTGCAGTGACTTAAAAGATAATTTTGAAACCAGTTTTCAAAAAATTGTGGCAAAAATTCCTGGCAGTTAATTGAAGGTGCTTTTATGTGACAGTTTTTACTTTAACTAATGTGTGCCGTATTTAAATCCCATTTTACAAATAACTTTATCGAGAGTGGCTCTGCTTGTTATAGCTTTCTTATTTTGAGGTAATTCAGAATAGGAGCCATCTCGTTTTGATAAAAGGGAATATATATATATTTTTTTAATTCAATATTTTTTTAAACCTTCTGTTCTGTTTTGATGTTTGTACTTGTTTGGTTTGGTCATGTTGAGGAAAAATCCACCAACATTAAAAAACAACAGTGAATTGAAAGTGGCAGAACATTCTATAGTTAAATAAAATGCCTAAAGGGTTTGGTTTCAATCACTTTTTAACTTTATTATGGGTGTAGCTCATATTACACACGTTTAGTAAAAAGTACCGGAACGCTTAAGCAACTAGAAAACTCCCAAAACTGGAACGATAGAATTCAATATCTAGGGGTTTTTAAACACGTAGAAGTCAAAAATGCTAACGGCGATGTTGTCAGATTTACCATTTACGTTTTATGTTACACGGCATAATTTTGTTATTTTAAATGGAATGCCCTACTGCATGTCGAATTTAGTAAAATCTCGTAATTTCAAACAATTTTTCTATTAATTGCTGGGTCACGGCAGCACCGCGTTTTCAGTAAAAAGTACCTAAACGCTTAGATATATCCAAAACTGCCAAAGACGGAAAAATAAAATTTTGACAAATTTCTCGATTGATATTTCGATGATATTTATAATTCTGACAACATTTCACTGATATGCTTCTAAAGTTTCCTATGTTCAAAAAACTCTAAAATTCTGAGATGTTAGGATTTTTTTTATTGATTAATTTAGCTGGTTTTCCTCGCACTTTATACAGACTTGTAACTGGCCTAAATTTTATTGGAGACACAATTCAGAGCGTGTTTAAGGGCCAATTGCTTGAAACACCAACGGTCAAATAACAATAGCACTAAATTATAAATTATCTCAAAAGCGAAAGGCTGAAACAAATATGGTGAAACCACAAAAATTAAACAGTAATAATTATGTGGTCACTAATTTTTATGTGAATGTGCAAAATGGGCACGGAATGTATTGCTCAACATAAGCGTTATAGACGCAGCTTTTCTGCGGATTCTTTCTCACAATTCAACCTAGAAAAAAGTCAATTGGGATCATATCTGGGGAACGAGACGGTTATTCTAAGGCGCCGATGAACCAGAAACTGCACAACTTCTCTTGAACAATGGGGCGGAACACCATCGTTTTGGTACCAGATTTCTTGTAAATTCCTATTTAGTTGCACCATGGAAGGAACTCTGTAATCCCTATGAAGCTCCTGTTAAGTTAGCTTTAATGAAAAAAGGCCAATATTCTGGCCCAAATTTTAAGCTTTTCAGGATATTATCCAGTAGGGACCAAATGTCTTGAATAAGTGATGCCGTAGCTCTGTAATTAATAGGAAAAATTTAGAAGTTATGAAACCTTACTAGATTCGACATGCGCAATTCATTGCTACAACAATAAATAGGGCATTCCATTTAAAATAACAAAATTTTAAGGTGTAACGTAAAAGTGGTAATTCTGACAAAATTGCCCATTAGTATTTATCAATACCCCGAGGTATTGAATTTTGTCGTACTTCGGCACTTCGTGAATACAAAAACTTGTCACCTATTGATGGTTTTTTAATAAAAACTAACTCTTCGTATGGACACACGCAAATCATCTTGGTCAGTCAATGTTCAAAACACTACGCATCATATATCAACCGTCGTCTCACTATTGGCGCATAAAAATTAGACTTGGGGACCCCACGATCTTTCCGCGTTTTTCTTTCTTGGACACAATTCACACCTATGTTACGTACTGTGTGGCATACGGTGTTTTAATCTTTGATCTATTCGGATTTGACGATCAACGATTATTACGTCAACCACAACCTCAACTTCTTGAATTGAATATTGGTATGAAATAAATTGCAATAAAATGTATATAGTATCTCAATTAAAATGATACACTGAGCCTTGAAAAATAATTGCAGAACAGTAATTTGGTAATTACTAATTCCAAACACAAGAAGAAATAGAAATAACTCCAAAGCTTCCACGACTAAGAAAATACTTTTTCATAAAACGCAGCATAGAGGGCATACTCCAATTTCAGCGACCCCCACAAATCAACCAATAGCATATAAGATTTTGTATTGCTTTCCTAGGAAAATATTCTAGAGTCATTATATTAAACCCTTAAATTGGAAATCAATTTAAGCTTTCTAATGTGTTTTTAATATAGGAGATTAACCTATGTAATGAGCAAATTTAACTTGAAATCAAACTACTTCAAGTAGAGACTGTTTTAGGAAGATTTATAAAAAGCACACTAATATGAATTAATATAACGGTTTAGTCAAAAAAAATTACCCTACTCTTAAAATACAACAGTGCGCACGGCACAATTCTTGTCAGCCAACATTTTAAATACGGCCCTGGCTGAAAAAATGGTCCCTTCCGCTTTACAACAACACATTCCGAAGTTAAAACTATAAATACTTTTTACAAAACTTCTGGATTCCTCCTGCGTCGGTTTTTGCTGAGTCAAAATTGAAACTGTTTCAGTCAAGCTCTGAAGAAGCCAACAGGATGATTGGCGAAACGTCAGCAATTTCGACTAAGCAAAAACCGACGCAGGAGGAATCCAGAAGTTTTGTAAAAAGCATTACAGTAGCCTGTGGAAGTTTCTTTGAAAAAAAACTATAAATAGTTGTAAAAACGGTATATTGTAGACAAAATTTATCTCCATATCTCAACTGGTTTGCGATAAATTTAAAATAAATTGCAAAAGTCAAAAAAGTTTCAACATGTTTTTATATGAGGTTTTTTCTGTAACGCCCATGTTTCTTCAAAAAACTAATGTTTCATTTTTTTAACAGAACACCTTGTATATTGTCTGCGATAAGTGTGTCACCCGGTACACACAGTCAATAAACAGGATAAAAGCTTAATTGCTTTTTTATTTAATTTGTAGATTCTATTTTTTTTGTTATTTGAATAAAGAGAAAAATGAGAAACCGAAATTTTCAATAATCAAAGATGAACTTACAACCAACAGGATATATTCCTTCGTCTTTGGTATTCGACGTGATCCACGGCACGTCGTAGACTTTCCCCTCTTTCATCAGCGCGTGGGGGTTTCGATCCACGAAAGGATCTCGCGAGTTTTTCTCAACTACGGGCCCGAATGGAGCGAACGGGATGAAATCCAGCGAGATGAATAAGCTGCTCACGGCAGCGACGAGAACATCACCGTCTAGTTTCTTCATACAGTCGACCATTTCTCTCGTGGACGTGATGGGACAGGTTACGTTTTTCGCGACGACCTGAGCGTTAGCCAGGGATTGCTCGGCGAGGCTCCAGCACTGCAACGCGGTGCCGCTGTGGGACACTCCTCGATGGAACAAACCTAGCATTGAGGATTATTTAGTCTATTTGGATCGTTATAATAGTGATTAAGGAGCGAAGTGAACAGTTGTGTATAAATAATTAGCAACTTTGGTATTTTAAACAAAATTATTGTCAATTCAATAATGTAACAGTCTTCAATGAGACATTTCGGTCGTAGCATTAGTACATCAACTAACCAAAAGTGTTACGTCTCCTTTTAAAACAAATACGAGTTTCACCCAATTTACCTGAGGTTAACGAACGGCGGAATTATTTAAAAAAACATTTCTTTAACGAATGCACCGATTTTGACAAAAAAAAACTCGTTTCAAAGCACTCTCCACATCCGGGCCGGGTATGACTTACCGGCTGACATAGGCGACAGATAATGATAGTGCACGCTAGCGCCACCTGCCGATAGGCCCGTTAAAGTGATAGAGTTGGGATTCCCTCCGAAATGCTCGACGTTTTCTTTGATCCACCGCAGAGCCAACGATTGGTCTTTCAGGCCGTTGTTACCTGGAACCACTTCATCTTCCGTGCTCAAAAACCCTTTAAATATAAAACGACCCAATTTGAATTTGATTTGCAAAAATATCCGATTCGTTCACCTAAAATTCCCAACCTGTAGTTCATTGAAACGTAAACGACATCGCGATCCATAATGAATTTCGGACCTGCCAAAAATTGAGGCGAGCCCATCATAAAAGCTCCGGCGTGTATGTGAACTACAACGTCAAGTTTCTCGGTCGCGTCTATCGTTTCTCTGGGCACGTAGACGTAAACGTAGAGACAGTCTTCAGTACCTAAATATCGAAATGTCCCAAACGCTTACTCAACGAAAGAAGAACACTGAGAATGGGAAAAATGATATTCATGGTTATCCTCAAGAAATTATACACTGTTTGGAATTACTAAACATCTAAAATTATTTTTATGTCATATGTCAGTAAACGTACAGTTAGAAAGAAGGGTCTTATTAAGTTGGCAATTGGCAAAAATACTCGTTGTCGCCTGGTATTCCGGATAAAATAACTGGATGTTTCGACGGGATTAACTAGTGCAAATCGGTTTATTAAACTCGACTATGAACAAATGAGTTCATTAGAGTTCATTATAGAACGGAGGTGGCTTTTACTTGATGAACATCCATTTAACCAAATAAATAAGAAGTAAAAGTTCAGATTTTCACGAAATTATATATTTTCACATGACAATTGTTTCGACAACACCGTGTCTTTATCAAATTACAAACTACCTGCTACTACATATACCGAAAAATGACAATAAAACCTTAATTAATGTTGTTGTGAGAATTTAAGTTTAATAATGGACACGGTGTTGTCGAAACAATTGTCATGTGAAAATATATAATTTCGTGAAACTCTGAACTTTTAGTTCTTATTTATTTTGGGTTCTTTATTAGCCAATTTGGTATAATCCAATACAAAACAAGTGCCTAATCCTATTAATTGCTTAACTTTATATATGTACATTATTTTCTTGGTCCTCTAGTATTATACCTATTGATTTTATATTATTTTAAATGATTTACGCGCATAAACGTTAGGCTATCTAACATTTCTCTCATCTTACAATTCCTATTTACTTTTAATATTGCTCTCATTGCACGATTTTGAAGTCTTTTTGCTTTACACATACGAGGTTAGCGCCAAAATTTCCCGGTCTGACATAGATGCAGCTCCAGTATCACGATAAAATTTTGTCTTCTTTTAAATATATATCTTAGTACGCTGCGAAAAAAAATTGAAGTCTTGCGTCAAGACGTGTCCGAAAAAAATTATTAAAGAAAGGCTGGATGGTGTGTACGGCCAAAGTTCTCCTTCGTATTCTGTAGTGAAAGAATGGGCAAAACGTTTTCGAATGGGGCAGGAGTCCCTTGAGGATGATTCAAGAACTGGTCGACCAGTGGAGGTCATAACGGAAGATATTGTTGCGATTATAGAAGAGGTGGTATTGAGTGATCGACGTTTTAAGGTCAAGGAAATCTCAGAAATTACTAATACAATTACTGATACAAGTGTTCGTCGAATCCTGCATGATCATTTAGGTATGCGTAAGGTTAATGCAAGATGGGTTCCTAAAAACCTTTCGGCTATTCAATTTCAACGCCGTGTCGAGTGTGCGCGGTCTCTGTGGGTCGGAACCGAAGCCTGTGATAGAAACTATTGTGACGGGAGATAAAACTATGGTTCTCTATTATGACCCTCTATCGAAAAAAGGATCAATGGAGTGGAGTCGTAAGGGTAAAAGCACCTGCAGGAGTCTGCCAGTCAACAAAAAAGGTGATAGCCACGATCTTTGGGGATTGTGAAGGAATTCTTTTGATAGATTTTAAAGAAACTAATACCACTGTCAATGGTAAATATTACGCAACATTATTACATAAATTGCGAGACTGCATACGTGTAAAACGTCGAGGAAAACTGACCAGACCTGTCCATACTGCTGGTGTTGCATAAGCTGCCATTTTAGAGTGTGGTTTCCAACAGATAGATCATCCTCCCTATAGTCTACATATGGCCCCGCGACTATTATTTGTTTGGATATTTGAAAAAGGACTTACGTCGACGGCGGTTTAACGACGAAGTTGAGTTAAAAGAGGCTGTTTTTGCATACAAACGAAATGAATTTTTTTTTTATGAATTGAGTTGTTAATAAAGATATGTAATAAGTGTATTGAAGTCAAGGGGGATTATGTTGAAAAATAATAAAAAAATGTTACTCTACTTTGTTTCTTTAATATGCAGGCCGGGAAATTTTGGCGCTGCCCTCGTAGTACTACGATATTCAAAAAGTGGAGCAATAATTGTCTTGTCCACATTAACTCTTGATACCAATGATAAATGTATGTCATATGGTTAATATGCTTAGAAAATTTGAACTCAATGTTATTAACATTTTTATTACAGAATAACATTCTATTTGTTTTTTTTTTAATTACAAAGAGTCTATCACCTATCAACCATTTTTCTAATCTACCAGTTGCAGATAATACAGTATCATCTAGAAACAAATTTATAATAACATCTTTGTCCAACCATACTGTGAGGGGTACTTTGTTCAGATCCTAGAGTCTGAGGATTATGGCCCCCCAGTTTTGAGAACCTGATCAAAGTAAGAAAACTAGAATATTTTCGCATTATTATGCGAGGTAAATTGAACGGAAGGAGAGGGACGGAACGGCACTTAACAAAGTCAGACGGGCAGTAGTGATAACCGATGTCCAGTGGGGATAGGTACTACAAGAAGAAGCTTAAGAAGCAACTTATAAACCATATTAATAATCTAAATACGGTTTTCAGAGAATTTATCGAAATTATGATGATATATTTGCGGAAAACATATTTCGATATTTGGCGACATTGGGTTATTTGATACGTGTCGCGAGTGCCAGTTTGTCAGTGAAGTCCCGGTTGCGCTCATAGCCTTTTTTATTCGACTTGGCCCGACTTGGATATCGATTCGATATGGAGGTATCTAAAATAACACCCTATATAAGAATGTATACGAGTACAGTCTCTATAGCCTCAAACATTCAGATAAAATATTGTAAAGTCGTTTTGTCAGCTAAAATAAAGTGAACCTAGCCCAACAATTTTTTTTTTGAGCCAAAATTCCGTATATAGGTACCATATGGATTGCTGAATAATATGGAAGTCAAATTTACGTACCTTGCGGTTTGTTGAATAGTATAGGAGTCAGATTCAGGCACATGTAAGATTTGTTCGCCACCAAAGTACCCTCCCAGGCTTCTGATGGTCTAGCTTGCTGAAATCAAAGACTTGTTTCATTTTTTCTCAATGATTTATTGGTTATTCCAAAAAATTGGTGTTCTCAGATAACAACGATTTCCCAAAGGCAGTTGATTTTTTTATACAATCATTGCAAAGTGTCGTCGAGCAAATTGTAGGAGTACAAAATTGAATACCTTACTTCAAATTATGCATTTGACGGAAACTAATACCGAAATATCCAAGTTATGGCTAAGATTTCTTTTTGTTTATGAATTTATGTACAGGGTTATTCACGCTACACGACATGGAATATTGTGGCGAAACTACCTGATAATTTACGCAGGGTTTAACCAGACGTATCCTGACTTACCACTTTCCACGCATTCTCTATATATCAAAAATCATCCATATTAATTATTCTCTTTTCTTATATGAAATTAGAATTTATTTTTGTTATTACATATATGAAAGAATATTTGATAACAAACATTTTTTAAAAATAGTTTTTTGCCAATTTTGTGTAAAATTATGACAGATGCCAGAAGTTTTTACTCTACAAAGAACAGGTACTTAGGATACTATCAGGTTGCAGCCAAAACTTTTAAAGCTTTCTAAATATTCACCTAATCCAAATTTGGGTCTATTTCAGTCCAAAAATATGGCAAATAATAAAAATCTCCAAAACCGTCAACCTCTAACATATGAAAGGAATTTTCAAAACTAATCATATTAGGTAGACGACTACATAGATGAAAAGTAAAACTGAAAAGTTTGTATTTTGGCCACAATATGGATAGCGTGAATAACCCTGTATATTTAATCCCAATCGCAACAGTATATTCCTTATGATACCTCAAAGCGTAAATCTCCAACGGGAGGTGTTGCGTAGGGAATACCTTCGAATGCGCTGTAGGTACGGCCCTTGTAAGATTTTTTGTAGGTGCCCTTAATCCGCCCCTGAGGCAGTCCCAATTCGGGACCTTCCGGTTCTGCGCCTTCATGGCCGAAAATACCGACTGAAGGGAAAAAAATCCAAAATGATTTATTTACATAAAAATTCTTCCTCTATATTATAATATTCAAAGTGATTTCCGCTAAACGACACTGAATGTTGTAGTCAAAACAAAGGTTTTTTAAAAACTTTTTGGATGGGTACAGACCCATTATATTAAATTATATTAAAATTATATATGTACAGTATGTTGCAATAACGTTTATGGTACCTAACCGAAGGTTATTTAAAATATCCTGAATTTTGTTAAAATGTAACCTAATTTTAATCTACAAATACCTATAACGTATTTAGATATGTAAGAAGAATGTGCAGAAAAGTGTGACCATATACCATATTTTATAACTCAATTACAAAAGGCTTCCGATCTGTTACAGGGTGGTCAAAAATCTATATTATCCTTTAAGAATCGTTATAGCTGGTTCTTCGCGTTTTCACAATTATGGTTTTTGCAAAACAACACGAATACATTCACTGACTTGACCGTCAGAATTGACAAACGTCAAAACTCAAGGCGTGGGAAATATCTCCGAAAACAACCGATTGCTCACAAACCCGTGCGGTAAAATCCCGGAAATGTCCGAAGTGGCTCGGATCCGTGGGAAACGAAAGTGGCGTGACGCTTCCCGCACGCTAGATCGGTGTGTAATTAGGCATTTTACAGACTAACCAAAACTCGGATAAAAATCATATCGATACGCTCTTCTTTCCGGTAAATCTTCATTTTCAGAAAATAATACCTCTTTTGTAAAATAAAACGAAACTGATAGCCTAATTTAAAAGTATTCTGTGAAAACGCAAATAGTTAGATAGAATACTCTAACAGCATTCGATAAATTTTTGTATACGATGGGAAGTTTTTTACATTTGGTATATATGTTCCATTGTTAATTGTAAATTTCGCTGAGATAATTTAGTTCAAATTATTTTAAAAACCTTAAGATTTAAGTAGCATAAAAGTTATTGAAACATACCCTTATTCTGGGCGTAAAATAAAAAATATAATAATATATAATAATAAGACTCCACATATCCCAAAATTAATTTTTTTTGAAAACTTTATATTTTGGCCACAATATTCTGTACCGTATAGCGCTAATAACCGTGTATATTATAGATTATAACATTTCTTTTTTTTCTTACAAATTGCAACATTTTTGGATAAGCAAAGAAAACAAAACCTCACCGCTTACGTACACCAAAAACCACACGTTATTAATGAACATTTTCAAATGAATCTATCACTCTGTATTACGAATCTCACGGCCACATTTATAATGACTATCAGGGGGCATTTAATTTGCGCGGGCACCCGTGTAAGAATCCATTTTGTGTGATTCCTGGGATTAACGAGTAATTTTCAGGAACGCATGCACGTAACAATAAGTTTTTTTAAACTCATATGAATTTCTGCGAGGGCGATATTTAATACTCTCTGCTACCATTAAGCTTATCAGTGACACGCTAGAAAATCTCCTACCGAGCAAATAATTCGCATATAAATACGGCGTGATTCACTTTGAGAGTCCTACTAAAATCTCTGAAAAACTAAAATAAATATGTATAGATAACACAGGTCTACGGTGATTTTGATGTTTGAAAGCTGCTTGTTTATTTGTATATTTTTGGCGGCCCCTTTTCCACAAAAAAGGCCATATTTTTGCTTTATCACGTCATTTTTTGTATAGCGCTCTATATCGTAAAAATGTTTGTTTATAATAACCTATGATATGAATACGTTTCTCCATATTAGGCATGATTTTGAAATACATTGATTTTTATGAAAGTGAATATGATTTGGAAACACTGGATAGTATTAGATTCCTCTGGAAAGCAACAGAGTTTGGCGCAAAAGCGTCAATATAGCGTTGTAACCTGCTGATGCGCGATGGTGTCAAAATTGGTGACCAAGACAAGTTCTGGGCTCCTCATACTGTTTGTTGCGTTTGCGTTGTAGCGTTAAGAAATTGGCGAAAAGATAGGAAGAAATGTTTAAGGTTTGGTGATCCCATGGTATGGCGAGAGATTAGGAATCACAGTGACGATTGTTATTTTTGTTCGTGTAATGTTCAAGAATTCAACAGAAAAAAAATAACAAACAAATTTTGTATCCCAATCTTGACTCTGCTATTCAATCAGTTCCTCACGGACCAGACTTACCGCCCCAAAAGAACTAGAAAACGTCATATTATCAGAATCAGAGGAATCTAGTTCCGATCCAAATGACTCAGATTTCACACCAGATTTCAGAGAGCCCGGAGTGTTTAACCAGAGTGAAATAAATGATTTAATTAGAGATTTGCCTCTTTAAAAATTGTTAACCTCCAGACTTCGTGACAAGCATTTACTGGCACCTGGGGTCACATCAAGCATTAACCGGGATTGCGAAAAAGAGTTATGTCAATATTTTACTCATGAAGGACCCCTACAATATTGCTGACTTAGTTTCAAGATTAGAAAATGTGGCGTGTATAAAAGAGAATGGTTTATTGACTCAAGAAAGCGTAGTTTTAATGCTCAATGATTGCACATTCGGTACATTTAAAAGAAACGTATGAAAATTTAGGACTTCTTTTGAATAAAATAAACTACCAAGATCTATACATTGGACTCGAATAGAATAGTCCGCTATAACAAGCCTTACAAGCGGTAGCAAAAATATATTAAAAGAGATAGCTTAGTTGTCCCCAAAAAAGTTTCAAACTTGGCTAGATGAAGCAGTTTGTTAAAGTCCTAGACAAAAATTGTTTCAAATATTTGTGCGAGAAATTTCCAGTTATATATATCTGGGTCTGGGTTTCATTTAAAAAAGCAATTGATAAGTTTCTTGGGAACTCTAAGGACAAAAAATACTAAAGTATTGTTCAAAACATGTTATAACACTTGCGTCCTCTACGCTGTAATGTGAGTTTGCATTTCCTGTTTTCACACTATTTTCCCGAAAATCTTGGAGCAGTGAGCGAAGAACAGGGAGAGAGGTTTCACCAGCACATTAAAGAAGTGGAACGGCGACACCAAGGCAGATGGGAGTACTTTTTTAACTAGGATTTTGTAGACCTAAATAATTGTCCATATACCTTATGTTTTGATTTTTTTTTTAATTTAGTGATGCCAGGTCTATCCGGAGCCAGTAATAAGGAATTTCAAATATCACCGATTTTCACATTGCAGAAAGATTTGGGTTGCAAATAAGTATGAAAAATAATTTCGCAAGTTATATTACTAACCGAAGAACAACCTAACCTTCGGTATGTGCTGATTATCCTAATAATCTGAAATTATTATACCCAAATAAAACTCACAAAATGCGACCAAATAATTAATTTACTTATTCCAAATCCATCCAAATACTACCAACGAAAATTTTCGGTTGGCAACAAAAAAATTGCCAAGTTCCTGCAAAGTCTCGTCTGAAATTAGTACATGTTCTAATTTGAATCAATAACTTCTGCAGTCTAGCACTGGGCGATAAATTGCAATTCATTGACTTTTTTATCATCTACAATTACAGTTTATGTTTAAATAAAAAATATGCAGTACTATTTTTTAGAAATCCTATCTTGCTATGTAAATCAGGGTGTACGTGTTCTTTACGTCCATAAGTGAGTCAGAAATATCCCAAAACTGTTAGTAGCGATTTTCTAAAAAATTGTATAAGTTAATTGTTTTTTTTTTAATTGTTAGAGGTCCCTACAAGTGGGTGTTACCAAAATTTACACAGAATGTTCTTTAAGATCCATATCTAAACATTGGTTTCCGGCAGGTCTGGCACAGTATACATACATTTCAAAATATTCCTTAAATTGAAAGTTAGAAAAAAACAAGAAGAAAACTAACTTGGAAGTAACAATATGGACCCCAATGCGCGTGCGCATTAAATGTAACCGCGCCATTACTTATCACCAAATATAAGCAGGATAATGAGAGCTAGTACACGCTGGCATTTGAAACATTGTCCATCTCCCACCCCACTCATCCACACTCTTCAATGGTATTTATTGAATATCGACAAACAGTAGTATTGCGACCTGTCTAACCGCATCAGCGGTCCTTTAATCTCGCCTGTTGTGTCCGCGGTGATATTTAGCACAGTCCTAATTGACAATTCACGTACGTCACTGTTGTTAAATAACAAGTCCCCCAAATTAAAGGAAATGATGCAGAACAGTGCACCCAGAGATATTTAGTCCATTAATTACGGTGGTCATCACGAATAAATTAGACGTTTGAACGAAAGAACGCCATCAGATATTATTTACCGAAAAACCGAACCGGATACCGTATAATTAAACATCATTCGGACGCATGACATTATAATCGCTATGATAATCGGGACTCGCGTCTGCTTCAGGAATTGATCAATAAATATTTTGGGATTGATGGAAATTGGATTAACACAAAATTATAATTAGGATGAAACATATCTGATAATACAGTGGCCGTAAAAATGCCGCATCAAAATTTATTCTGTCTCAGTTGTCTGTCAGCGGCCATGTTGGTTGTTGAATGCCCCAAGGTCATTGGTTAACAACGAAATTTTAAATCTCGTGCGTGCGCATCTTGACTGTATCTTCTCAAAAAATTTTTGTCGTTGCTTCATAAGTTCCTGAATTATCGGGATATACAGTAAAATTTCTGGTCGTATCCACTATAATAAAACGACCGTTTTGCACTCTCCAACTAAAATAAATACCAACGCTTGCTTTTATTTCTGTACTCTCCTTTTAAGGGACGACACGCATTCCGTATTTTGTGCGACTTAGTCTTTAACTTGAGCCCTCAACTTGACCTAAATTATAGTATACTTAGACCAGAAATGTAGTGCTTTTACAACCGATCCCGTTATTAACTTTGAATCCACAGCTCCTTATAGAACACCCTGCCGAGCAGATCCTTATCCGTCCTTACTGCAGGACCGTCCCAAGAATTTATATACCAACACTAACAAGCGGGATATAAATATGGGTTCAATCTTTTTCGCTGAGCAATTCTTGAAACATGTACATAAAAAAATTAGTACAAAGTAACAATTTATTACGTTCTATGTCACTTGTTTTTATTGCTGCTCCTACTTCCCCTTCTGAATCTCTTTATAAAATTGTAAACATTCAAAACAATTTGTTTAGCATAGGTTTTTTTATTTGCTGAGGTAGTTCGTGTTCTAAATTGTCATTAGGTTCGACTACCATCTCCACTTCGTCTTCAAAGTCTGCGTTGTTTTCCATGTCTTCTTCTAACAGGGAACATCTGCTTTATTCCACGGTCTTGTGAGATTCTAATTAATATTTATCTGTATTTTTATGACTTACCTTAATCTACTGCGAATATAATCTATAGTCTTAAAAAAGACTGTTATTGTTTACAAATATACAAGAAGAAGAATGTTGTTAATCGACAGGCACACAAGACAAAAATGATTATTTTCAAATTTATCTGTAAGATAAATTTATCTGTAAGATAAATAGAGTACTCACTCTTACCCTTTGAACTATTCAGTGAAAACAGCCTCGCAGGGTCAAAGCTCAAGAATCAGGTACATAAATACGTACTTACTGGAAGGATCACATTCAAATACCTCCGTAATATATACGAACATATTGCAATTTAGGTTACACTCTTAAGAACGATACGTATCACCTGATGTTAAAACAAACGCTTCTACTCATTCGAAATTTCCCCGCAGCATCGATGCTTAATCAAATTTAAAACGCTCCATTTACGTTTCAAATAAAATTTTCAAGTTTCTACAAATATTCGGTAAGGTCCATCTCAGGCAAGATCTACTTAATGCTGAATAAACATCTGCTGGGATGACTTTTACCACGATTCTGCGAAGGTTTGCGGTTGAGGTACTGTAAGATACTTAAAACGTCAAAGCAATAAATGCACTATATTTTTGGTCATACAATATAAGGAATCAATTAACTAAACTTTAAATGCACTGACGTTGTGTCAAATTTTGCAGCCACTTTGCTTGCTGCATCTAACTACGAGAAGAATGATATTCCTTCTTTGTCTAACCTTTCCACCCTTCCATATCTTTGTCCCTTTCCTTTTCGTCTCTGAGTAAACATGCGATAAAACGACATTCAACAAGCCACATGGCCGCTGACAGATCGTCAATAAGTGTGCATGCGGCATTTTTACGGCAGTGTGTTTGCAACATATATCCTGATCCCATTAAAATTTTATGCAAAAAAGATTCTCTGGATATCGCTGCAAGAAAATGACCCAAAGTGCCGGTTGATGAGTGAACTATCATAGCCACCCAAGGCTGTACTGTTACTGTATTAGAGCCACTTATTGTTATCTATTTATTTAATAGCTATATGCTATAGCTATATCCTAATCTGTTTCAAGTAGTGACGGTCAATTTTATTTGTAGGTCTGTTATGTGATTTTAACACACTTTTACGAGCATTTTTTGAATTGTTTTGCTACTAATTAATCAAGAATTTGAGTGTCCATGCTTCTAAAACAATTAAAAGAAAACTGAAAAAGGTCTTTACTCCCTCTCAAAAAACAGTTCATCAATTTTCGCCTCAGACTTAACTCTTCATTTCTGCCACTACGCCGCAAGTCAATATAATCTGTGATTTAACTAACCTCGCTTAAACCAGATAGATCAAAAATATTATTGAAAATCACTAAAAAATGACAAGTTTCGTCGGCCATGATACCATACGTACCAAATGAATTAACAACGTAACACCTAGAGTAAAATTCTTTTTTCTGCTCCCTTCTGTAAAATATCTAATTATAAGCTGATCTAATGTGCGGAAAACGTTACTTTACTATGTGAGTTTCGCGTTCCACGGATCCGAGCCACTTCGGACTTTTCCGGGATTTTACAGCATGTTTTCGGAGATATTTCCCAAGCTTTGAATTTTGACCTTTGTCAATTCTGACGGTCATGTCAGTGAATGTATTCGTGTTGTTTTGCGAGAATGGACCCAAAAACTAATGGTCGTAGAAAAAGTATAGTACGCAACACATTCGGTAAACTTCCCGTTTCCGCACTTGTTGCATATACTATTACCATTTCCCGCACTTGTACGGTAAAATAAAAATAACAAAAATGCATCAATTTGGCAATGCCGCGCCTCAATAGCATTCCTGTACCTTTCAGACGAAAACAAGGAAAATTTATTTAAAATGAGACCAACGTCGCGTGTAATTAACTCTATTTTAAGAATGCGTGTAAACGAATAAATAACGATAATTCTTCAGTCATATAGTTTTACAAGTAAAGAGATCCATCAGCGGGTCCCAAATAATGAAGCGATATCAAAATAACGTCGATTATTGTCCAGACGCCTAGCCCGCCGAAACTAAACAGTTTGCCGATTCCCTCCTGCCAGTGTCCCAAGTAGAACCTATCCGCTCCGAATCCACCTAGGGTTATGCTCAAGGCCAACGCCGTCGACCACTTATAACCGCCCGTCCAGTTGCACCGCACCCTTTTGTTAAACATTCTCTGACCTTAAAATGTCAGGTGTCCAGCTTTAACCAATCAAAAACTGTAAGTCTAAAGTGCAGTTGGCAGCTTTGGTTAATAAGTAAGAATAAGTAAAGCACCATCTGACAACGCCGCGAAAACTTGGACTTTAGACTTAGAATAAACAAGATTGAAATTTAAACTCACCTAGACACAGTACGTCACTGTTTACCGTACAATTCGTAGTGTACATTTCCCTGGGCGATGCCACTGAATCGCAAGTAGCTTTTAATTCGCACGTGTGCTCCCAGGGTTCTGTCTGGTAGCAATATCGACAAAGCAGGTGTCTATCAAACCTCGAAGGGCCCTGAAAATATCCACACTTTTTCAGTAAAACTTAACCCGGCCTTTTTAAAAACTGCTCATTGTAAATAACTCAGCCATTAACGTGATTCCAACCCTAGAGTAAAAGTTACTATATTATATATTACATTATATTCGTTCAACCCAAATCTCAAATTATAAATACGGCAGTCTCACACTTATTATTTCTTTCGGCAATGGTAAGTTTAGTTAACGTCATACGTACTTCACATTTGATCTGAGCCTTTGATTGACACTGTGTGGTCATGTTGGCACCATATCGACAGTTCTCTTTCAATTTGCAGTTTATACACTGCGCCGGCAAGTCTTTGCATTTCATATCCAACGGACATTTTAAGATTGAGTCCTCCTGGATAACAAAAACCAAATAATTTCGTATCAAAATGGCGACCCACATTGCAACATATCAGCAAAACTGTCAGTAAAATGATGCAATAAACACGCCCTTAGCCACTGACATGCACATGTCAAAATAACTACTGTCACGTGACGTCACAGCAAAGCAAATCAAAAAAATGCAAATGCGCGTCATATTGAAACTAATATCGCTGGTATGATAAACAGGACGCCGTTAAAATACTATCTGCAGTTTTTTCGTTGCAGATATTCTGCATTGTAGGAACAATATTCCTGAACTTGGATCGCCTGACATGGTTTCACGACCTTTTAAGTATTAGCCTGTGCGGGTATGTTTTAATATTAATTGTTTGCGTGGCCATATTACTGATCAAGAAAACACTAGACGAAACTATGGACTACACGTTTATGATAATAGGAGCGGTCCTAAATTTTCTTGGTAAATAAGGAAACTGTCCTTAAAATAGAAAGTAAAGACCTAATTTTCAGGTGGAATTATAGCAATTGTTTATTATTCGGACAAATACAAACGATACCATTACGATATATCTGGAGGTAACCTAATTGCGGTTGGAATTTTCGCCATCTTTGCAGCTGTTTCAATGACTGTTGATGTTTTGAAGAATTATTATAAATTATTTTAGCTCTCTGTTCAAAAGACTTAAGTTAACGTAACATAAAATTCAATAAAATTTATTCCGGAAATAAGTTTTATTTAGGTTTTCACTTCAGCAAATAAAATCTCCCGGTGCCGCCACTGTCTAACCAAACAAATCAAATTTTTTATTTTGGAAGGAAGTGTTTTTAACATTTTCGAGCAACAGACACCGTATCTTATCAGGTTATCCAACAACCAAGGCACCTGTGGTTTGAAAAGTTTTATCGTAGTACGGTGAGTACGTTATTTTTAGTTAATTGCCCGAAATTCTACAGCTCATACTGGGATAAACAAAGAATAAGGGAGAAATAGGCCTATTAATTAAAACTATACTTACATACATATTTACTTCCCTGATGCTCTCATCTGATACATTTGTCTTGGTTTTGTTTACATTTTCCTGCGATATTTTGTTGGGAGTATTTTCGCCAGCTAAAAATTTCAGGTTAGTAACAAAAACGGACTTAATTCACCCCTCGATTTCTTACTCATATAAATATTGTTTACTAAAAATGTGAGCAGAATTAACACGACTTTGCTAGCATTTAATCGAGCGCATCTCATTTTCGTTTCAATAACTTTTTATTCTGCCACTTTTAGGTTAAAATTTTAGGGAAATGTCAACGGTAATCGGACATGGGCGTAGAGGGAGCGGGAGGTTTAGTGGGAAAGGGTTTTATCTAAATTATAATTTCAACAAATACAGATTGTTTCATTTCTTCGACTAATAAAAACATCACATTTACAGATAGCTACAAATTGCGAGTGCGTGCCGTCACGATCTTAATTTAAGGTGGACTTATGGCACCACAAAACATTGTGGTAACCGGTTTTGGACCATTCGGAGAGCATAAAGTGAACGCGAGCTGGGAAGCCGTCAGCCTCTTACCAGAAAAATTGGAAAATTTTCATCTAGTGAAGGAACAAATACCTGTCGTATATAAACACGTGGAGAGTAAAATACCCGAATTGTGGAATAAATACAATCCGAAGGTAGCGATTAGCCTGTTTACTTATATGAGTGTCATGATATCTATATTATAGCTCATAGTCCATGTAGGCGTTTCTTCTTACACTAGCGTTGTTCAATTAGAATCATGCGCCCATAAAAGCGGGTACGAACGACGAGATATCGAAAACTGTTGTCCGAAAAACGGCGCTCCCTGTTGTGCGGGTGATGAATGCATTAAAACAGGGATAGATGTTAACAAAATTTGTGAAAGGATAAATAAATTGGGCCAATTTAGGGCGTGTAGGTCCGACGACCCAGGAAGGCAGGCGGGAGAGAAAAAAAGGGATTGACCTTATAATGCATAGTTTCGTTTTAGATACCTCTGCGAATTTATTTACTACACTTCCCTCAATATCGACAGAAATAGGAGTTTGTTTATACACGTTCCTCCTCTGAACAAGCCTTACACGTCGCAACAATTGGCAGAGGTTTTGGCCGAAGTGATTAAATATGCGTTAATCCAATTGGAAGAAATTGACACTGCAAAAAAAACCGAAATTATAAATATATATAAAAATGGAAGGGCTGCCGAAGCATTTTGTTCCTTTTATCATGATAATGAAGTCCACGACTAAAGACAACATTACACGAATCGGTCGTTATGAAGGTTTTGTTTTATAATATCGTTTAGTATAAATTATTTCCCAAATAAAGTTTACATCATAATTGCGCACGCATACTTTATACCTTCGTTCTGTTGTCGATTCTGAGGTGGAACAGTGCATATGGCGGTTTAACCTCCGTTCGCTCTTTGCAAAATCTTTTGTATTCGTCCTAAAAAGCTCTGATATCGATTTTTTTTCGTGTGATTATTATGTCGACACTGTATGGTGAAGATTATAAAGCGTTTAAGTGTGCCTTGCGGGCCCCGCTAATTTTGCTGTTCACGCCGGTTTATGGCCAGATAGACCCGGTTGGTCGAAGTGGGCCGGATTTTTGTTGGTATCGACTAAAATCCTTTTTGGTTACTGAGAATAAATGTTGATTATATTTCTTTTTTATGTGATGGTCTGAGATTGAAAGAAAAACCCTCGGCTTGGGCGATTGACCACAGCAGTGTTGCCCAGTTGAAAGCACTTTGAATTTCTCTCTCTCTCTCATTCTGCCATTACTTCGAATAGTTCTAATGTGCTGTAGACGAAACAATGCTGACGTTTAACATAACCTTTGATTGTGATTTGTACTTTTTTGCAATGATTACTAATTTGTGTAGATAAAAGTCGGTCACTGGAAAAAGCGTTCATTGGCATACGCCCTTTTCGATATGAGTTACGAAGAAATGTTCGAAAAGTTGGGCGAAAACCCAATAGAATCGGCCAAGGAGGCTGTTAGGTTGCTGATTAAAATAGTAGAAAACATTTTAAAAAACCCTAAGGATTTGAAATTTCGTACTCTTCAAAAAAACAACCCTACTCTATCGAAAAAGCTATTGCCTGTTGCCGGAGTTCAGATGTGTTTAGAGCTTGTTGGTTTCCAAGAGGTAAACCATAATATGGAGTAATGTTTTTATTTGATTGTAGTATTTATAATTTTTAGAGTAATGAATATTTCACACTGCCCTTGAGTATTCCTCTTAGTAAACTTGAGGAAGGCAAGGATGCTCTTTGTGTATGGAAAGAAGCCTTTCAAGTTGATAATGGAAAGACTAATGAAAGGCAAAAAATGGTGAGTATGCTACTAAATTTCACACAAAAGCTAACAAAAGAGTTAATTGAATTTTAGGCATCTACACCATCTGTTCAAAATAAAGTTGAAAATTCTCTAGAAAAAATTACTCCTTTTGTGTTACCTCCTTTAGTCAGAGTGAGATGACTGCTTCTTGTTATATTTCAAAGATGTAGAAAACATTTGTTTTTAGTTATATGCAAATCCTTTTTTACACCAGGTTGAAGTAATTTTTCATGAAGCTCTCAGATTTGAAGATAAAAACACCCAAATACGGGCACGAAATCTAATACCATTACAAAAACTAGAAAAACTTGCCCAGGAAAGGTTACGCACGATTCAGGAGTATGCCAAAAAAAGTACATTACAGCAAAACCAAAACTAATGCCATATGCATGAGGTTTGTTTGTTGCTCTTTTAGATCATTTGGGAGATCCAAATATATCAATACAAGAAACACTTTTGCTAGAACTTCTAGCTTGGTTCAAAGAGGATTTTTTTTCATGGGTAGATAGTCCAGACTGTGAACAGTGTGGTGGTAAAAGTGCCTTCTCTCACATGAGTACTGATCCAAAATTATTGGTGTACACCAATAGAGTAGAAGTGAGTTTAAGATGTTCATTAATAATGATAACATTTATTAGCAAATTGTTTTCAGCTACACAGATGCCAAAGTTGTCATACATTTACACCTTTCCCGAGATACACTGATATGAACATTCTGCTGGAAACCAGGCGAGGCAGATGCGGTGAATGGGCTAATACTTTTACCTTGCTTTGTAGATCGTTGGGCTGGGATGCAAGGTTTGTTATGGACGAGACCGACCATGTTTGGACTGAGGTATCTTCCTCACCCATACTTAATAATTGAATATTTGCTAATAATGTGTAATATGACTTTCATTTGACTGCAGCAAAGTTATGATATGATATTGGGAAGTTTGCCAAGTGAGCAATTTTTTTTAGGTTTATTCCATTGCTCAACAAAGGTGGCTGCACTGCGATCCGTGCGAGAATATCTGTGACCAACCATTGATGTATGAAACAGGTTGGAAGAAAACTGTTTCCTACGTAATGGCGTACTCAGGTGAGGAAGTGCAAGACGTGACATGGAGATACACCTGCCACCACAAGGAAGTGCTGAAAAGACGAACCAAATGCACAGAAAACGAATTGGTCGACGTGTTATTGAAACTGCGAGAGAAAAGGCAGATGGTGTTTTCTGAATCCAGAAAGAATTATCTGAGGAGAAGGTTGCTTATGGAGTTGGTGGAACTGATGAATGAAAAGTGAGTAAAAATGTGCAAACATGGTGGTCATGTGATTGGGACTATAGACCAGTTAGTCAGAAAACAACAATTTTAAATGACTAGGGCTAACGTAAACGTAGAGTTGAATTTGGTAATTTAATTCAAGGAACAACAACAACCTCAACAGATAAATCTTAGATAAACCATAGTTTAGAAGTTTATTATTTTACTGTATTTAAATTTGCAAATTATTACTTTCAGAATTTCTCCAACAATTTAAGAACATTTAGTTTAAATTAAAAATGACTGACTAATCACAGATTTCAACAAAAGCATTTTAAAATCCAAATAGGCTTTTACTTTTTCCTTTTGTAGCAACCTGTAATTTAATTGTGCATTTTTCCCAAGTGTTTATGTAGAAGTGGACTGTCGGTAAAATTCATAATAATTAAAAAAATAAAATTTGGAGAATTACCCTTACCAAGCGAATTTTTTCTAATATGTTTATGGTTTGTGATCGATCCAGTAAATGTGGAATTGCAGAAAACCTGGAGAATGCGACAACAAAGGGAGAGTCTCGGGCAGCGAGGCGTGGAGATTGCAACGCGGTGAAATACAAACTTCCGAGCCGTCACGTTTTATATGGAAAATCGACACGAAAAACGTTAAAGAACGAGTATGTGTTCGATACTCTGCTGTCCGTGACAAGTACGAGTATATAGTCGACAACGACGTGCGAAAAACAGTTGATAATTGGAACGCGGCCGCCGTCGATCATAGCAATGTTTTTAGAAAAGTCGAAAAAGACTGGAAGAAAGTTTATATCACTAGAACAGGTGGCATTAAAATGTTACTTTTGCTAATTTAGTTCAGTTTAGTAAAAAATAAACCGTTAATATTGATTTTCTCTTTTTTTAAAAACTGAGACCACTATGATGGTAACAAATAATTTTTTAAGAAAATATATTTTCTTTTCTGTAAATTTAACATGGTAACTGCTAATCAATGTCTGAATATAGTAAATTGACTTATCACTTTTCTTTTTCTTTTTAGAAGGGTGCTCAGAGGAGGGACGTATCTGTTGGAGGTTCGATGTTGAAGGCGATTTCAAAATTCTGGATACTGTCATAGTAGATTTTTCCAGTGAAACATTCGAGAATGGTAGAGTGTGTACTCAAATTTTCGCAGCTGATTTACAGTTCGAAATACCCAACGGTCAGTGTTTAAGTGCATTTTTGGTAAATTATATTTCTATATTTTCTTTATTAAAGGTCAGAGACATTTTTCTTCTGACGAATTTAACGGAAAGAAGAGCATCACCATCCAATCGACTCTATCTGGCGGTAAAGGAGACATGGCGTGGCAACACGCTCAATTGTTTCGTGAGTCACTGACCAGTGATGATTTTCCATTTTCTGTAACTTTTATATTCAAGTAACTTTTCCATGTACTGGTGCTGAAATTTTTAAAACAATTTCAATGTTTAAATATATTATACGTTATGTGATGGTTTTAAAAAATGACGTTTTTGTCTCCTTATTAATTGTAAATTCAAAGATATTGAATATAAGTAATAGAGATTTGCAAAAGCGGCATTATAGTGACATTTGTATGGCATGTGTTGCTACTTTTATGGTCGATTTTAGTTCCTTTGGCATCAATAATTAGTGATAGAGGAGATACATCGCTGTCTTCATATGAGATGTGGCGGAGTCAGAATATAGGTGGAACTTGTTTTTTCCTGGACTGTACACTTACCGATAAAAAAGTTAGGAAACAGTCTCTTTAAAACACCTACCATAAGTAAAAAAACAAATACAAAATATGAATATATAACAAAAACGGCAATCTAATTATCAATAATTTTATCAATAGTTTTATCTCGAGGCCACCCGACCTCTAGTGGTGACTATAAGGTTCAACTAGAAGGGGGATTTCAAACCCCATATGTCAACACTGCGATTTATTTCCATCCTTTTAGTCCTTGGAACTTACAACAATCAAGCATTTATCCAAAATTCTCAATTTCATATCACTCATGAGGCAAGTAGACAAATTGGCGCTAATTTTCATGCACGTGGTGTTGTATCAGTGGCGCCATCTAGGGTTATGTAACCGGTAGAAAGTTTCAGTTTCTAGGAGGGTTCGAATCGAAGATGATGGTACACGTTTAATGTATGTACGAGACTGGAAAACAACGTATCAATGGAATTCACCGTAAAAAAATTTGAAATTGTCAAATATTCTGTTCAGTGGCTGCCTTTTTTGCAGTTGTATATTCATATTATATTCGTTACCTCTTTCGGGGCGTAATTTCATAGAATCGAAATGCTTTCTGTCCTCAACATATACACATAAAAATAAGTGGTACAAAACCCTATTTGGGTAGAAATTAGGTAAATATACATAGTTTATCCATAATATTGTCGTCAAAGAAAACATCAAACTCTCATTGAAATAGCTGAATAGCGTGCCTGGGATAACCAAACAACTGCAAAATAATATAAAGCACATCTTTCAGTTTTATTTATAGGACACCTTAAAAAATATGAACACATTGTTTAATAGTTTTTACAATTATAGTTACTGATATAAACAATGACTATAATACAATGAAATATATAATTTTAACTGATTTGAACAATCACAGATATTTTTCTAAAGTTAAGGTTAAAAATGGCAATCATTTGGTATCAAAATAATGCTTTAGTCTTTTATATCACATTTGATATATTATTTTGATCAATTCAACTCATAAAATGCCAAAAACACTCATCACATTTTTTTTAAATTGAGCAATCACTGGAATGACCTCAAATTTTTTTGTGGCTTATTTCTAGTAGTCCGACTCACAGCGCAATAAAATGATTAGTTTTGGTTAGTATTGCTGCCACAAAATCACACTGGTTATTAGTATAAAAGTAAATATCAGCCTTTTTTCATAGTGCATCACACATCTCAATAGTGTGCATCAGCAAACAAATGAAAGTTCTTCTTGTAAAAACTCTTGCAGTTCTATGTCCGAGAATTCTTCAATATCTTCTTTAATGATCTGGCAACATGAAAATGTTCTAGTCACTAAACTAATTAGGAGACGATAAATTTACAATAATGAATGGCGATAAAGGAGATACATCGCGGTGTCTTAAACTCTCTAACTCTGATTGGAGTGTTTTTGATATGAGATATGAATACATAACAAAATTTTGTTATAATTTTATTTCGAGGACATCTTGCCTCTAGTGATTACTTTACATGGCTCAAATAGAAAGTGGATTTCAAACCCGCGATTTATTTCCATCCTTTTAGCCCTTGGTACTTACAACAATCAAGCCTTCATCGCATTTATCCAAAATTCGCAACTTCAAATCCATGAGGCCAGTAGGCAAATGGTCGCTATTTTTCATGCAGGTGTATTCATCCAAAACTTCTATATTTACCGCTTTGTACACCTTATTTCTGAATCCTCTAATTCCAATAATATTTACGTAGGGCACTTGACACACAAATTGGAACCTATCAATGGAATTCCCGTAAACGTTTTTTAAATTATCAAATACTCTGTTGAGTAGCGGCCTCTTTTGCAATTGTATATTCATATTATATTCGTTACCTCTTTCGTGGCGTAATTTTATAGAATCGAAAAGTTTTCGGTCCTCAAAATACATACAGGTCAAAAGCAAGTTTAATCTTTCTTTGGCTAGAGACTTCTCGCCTATAAAAGAAAAAATATATTCCACTATCTCCTGTTCCAAATTAAAATATAAAATCAGTTTACATTCTTCTGAGGCAAAAGAATTTTTTTTAACTATTTAGCTTCCAATCATTATATGAAATTTAAATAGACCATAAACCTCAGGTAACGCAAAAATATTTTTTATGATACCTACCCCTAATAATTGTCACTGAATTGTTCGTCAACGCCATATCAATAAGATTATGAGCCTTGTATTGCATTATCCACAGGTACAATATGATTTCCACTAATATGCTAGGATCGTCAAGAAACTCACCATTATCAACTCGAACAATAATTTGTGGCATTATCACACGCTCTATATCATTTCTACTTAATTTAAAGTTCAAGTTGCTCAATGCCCACAGGAACCTCTTAATATCTTTGCTTCTGGGCTGTTCTTCGAAATATTCATATTTTGAAGTATACTCACAGCCTTTAAGCTGCTCGATTCCTTGGTTTGCAAATAATCTTAGAATTTTTTCGTCATAATATAAATGATCTGAATATAACGCCAGAAGATGGCCGACCGCAGGAAATGAATAACAGTAATAAGTTTTGTTAAAAATTACCGCACAACTTATTGTTTCTAAAAAGTCATCCTCCTGCCCACGGTTGTGCCGAATTGTTTTTACAAATGTAACAAATATTTGAGGATCCTTCAGTAAATTTAAATTATCACATATAAAGTTCCTGATTTTTTCCAGAAAATATTTATTTTGCATTTTAGTTGATGTTTTAAATGAAGAATTACACACTATGCACAACTCTTCCTTCGTCAAGTGGTCTATTGCATCATCATCCAACAATTTTAAACATTTTCTCATCATTGCTTGAGATTGAGGTGACTTTTTTAACAGACCAACAAAAAAAATTAATTGCACTATGTCTTTGAAAGACAAAGTATGAGAATTTTTTATTAAATGTGTTATAGCAAGCCCAAAATAGCGATAATTTGTAATATTGTTTGGAACTACTTCCATAAAAGTATGTAATAAGTTAAAAGTTTCTTTCACATTTAATTTTCTAAATTTTCTGCAACATTCATTATCAAAAGCATTAACCAATGTCTTAAAATCGTATTGATTTTTTATTACGCTACGATCAAATGAATTTAAATTTTTAATTATCTGATTAATATTACTATCTGCAACAACGGCATTGTCTTTTAATAAGACTAAATGATCTTTTATCTTATTTGTACTACTTAAATAGTGCAAAATCCGTCCCGTTAAGGTATCTTCCGTTAAAACAGTTACGCGGTCGGAAGTTAAAGACCTTGCAAAATTTTTAAATCGAATGGTTTTAATGTTATTCGTTTTCCGAAATAAAATTATCACACACTTCAACATTTCAAAAAAATCAATTAGAACTCACTCAACATAACCCTAATTCCTTTTGATGTTGGGGTACTAACATGATGATGATCGAATTCTAACTCTCTGTTAATAATTAGATTTGTTTTGAAAGTGTGAAACAAAGACCGAAAACGAATGGCATTATCAATTTACAATTAAATGCAGGAGACTGGAGAATTGTGGAATGGTTTCATATCTTTTAAAACTAGAATGATTCAATTTTCCAAAGAAGATACAATCTCAAGAAAGTATAACCTCATTGCCTATTTTAAATGTTTTAAGGTGAGGTGTCTGTTAATTTAAACCGGGAAAATGATTCACGAACTTCTCCTTCACTTATGGAACAACCCAGCAATTGTGGGAGAAGGCGATGAAAATAATGTGATGTTAAAACTAAAAATATTTACTTACAACTGAAAATATTAATTTTAGTACAGCAATTTGTTTGAACTACCGCAATTCCTGCATCCCGGGGAACACAAATTATTGCACAAAATCATAGAAATTGCAGCGAATTACCACAAAATTGTGTCATATGTTAATAATGTATTGGGCCAGAATCAAAGTAAATAGATATGTTTTTTTTATTCTGTTCGAAAAGATTTTCTTCATATTGTGCAGGCGAGTTGGAGCCGACTTTGACCGAAAATTCATCAAACCAACTGTATTTGAAAGCGTTTTGCAATGGCATTCAAAGCGTTCTCGAAGATTATCGCGAAGAAATACTCAGACTAGAAAACATGTTTCTGGAACACCCTCGGTTGTCATTAACATTTGTGCTTAGTTCTGTTGATAAATACAGAGGGGTTTTTGGCATTTTGCAGGCAATTATAAGGCAAGTGCAAGGCGAGAATTTGAAAGGCTGTTTATTGTTAAATAGTTTGCACAAGTATGTCAATTGTGGTGTGGAAGAATATGAAGAAGCTACTAACAAGTATGTTCTGAGATATGGAGATACTGTTGTGTTATAAAAAATTACTTTTAAGGGTCATTAAGTGCATCAATACTGTGTTTTATCAGCATTTGTGTAATTGGATAATATATGGTGACTTGGTAGACCCTTGCAATGAATTTTTTGTGTGCGATGGTAATGTACCTGATGAAAACTTTTTGTATCCTGAGCAAGGTAATGGCGGCGAAACGATTTCGGTAAGTTTTAGTTTGTAATTCATGTAGGTGCAGATGAAAAGGAAAACTATTTAGATTCGGTCAAAAATCTGTCGGCCTCCGAATGTAAGGAAATTCTTTATAAATTGGAACATGTTGCCCATGTTTATTACAGAAGATTGCGCTGAGAGTATATTGTTTATGGGAAGAATCGTTTGGATCGTCAGAAATAAGCCGGCAGTAACGGAAAAAATCAGTGATTACCAAACAAAATTTAAAAAGGATGTGTGGGAGGGTCGCGATATGGAATATTATTTGAAAATACAAGCCTTAAATGCGCAGAACTTTAATGCTGTAGAATTCAGAAAGACCCTGGAGGAGTGCAGAATAAAGCTGACTAAGGTTTGTCAATGATTCAATATGGAAGGAGACGCTTTCGCATTCACAACCACTTGATTCCAAACCTTAAAGTATCATAAAGTACATTTTACATTGTTACATGGGAGGAAGGTGTTTTAATCTAGCTTAGCTTTCTTACGCAAAATGGCATTGGTGCAATTTTTTAAAAAATTTGGTATGCTGTGGTTCTTGATGTTCATGGGCTGAATTTGATCCTATGTCCAGTTTTTGTAATGTCATGGTTCCAAGTTGAAAATTGGAATTTTACTATAGATTTAACAATGGACATTTATAAATAAAAACACCTTAGTTTTTTGACACAATTCTTATGGGCGAATTTTGCTTATTTTAAGGTCTTTTAAATGTGAAATTAATTTTTTGCTAATAGAAAAACCGAAATATTTACATAGAGATTTATTTTATTACAAATCAAGAGTGTGCAAAGTGAACACACCTCATCGTGTTATAAAAAATGACTTTCACATTTAATATATAATAATAACATAAAATAAATAAAATTCTACCATAATAATTTTGTAAAAAAATAGCAGAAAAAAAATTATTAAAATTCCCCTTTGTCTAAATTTGAGCGCCAATATTTCAAAAACTGAATATTGGATTGAATTGGGCAAATGCAGACTTTGTTCAGAACCTTAATGACTACAACATAATATATTTTTTTAATGGCCGAAAGTCATTTTGCATAAGAAAAGCTTTTATGGGATCTCGCTCCATTACAGCATATTAATAACCATTTAATAATAATACCTATTCCAAACTACTACTTAGATCAAACTCTTGACTGGAACCTTCGGCACTGCACTAACACACAATAACGCGTTTTACCACAAACCGAAACTCAATTTTACGTTTTTACCAACCAAGTTGGCATCTCCAGGAGAAGATTAAAACTAAACGAACGAGGTTTAGTTTTAATCTTCTATGAGACTATTTAACAATAGAGAGAGAAGAGAGAAGTATTTAAAAAAATGGTAACGAATTTTTATTCAGGAGTACTTAGAACTAACTATACGATAAATTTTTATAATGTTTCAATACAGGGTGTTTGAAATATCTTTTGCGATCTGCTTAAGGCTGTACATCGTTGTTAAATCTTTGATTACGGTTTGATTTTGATAAAAAAAAAATGTTGATATATCTTCCAAAAACGCGCTAAAACCTTATGTTTCTTATTACATAAACCTATTATTATGGCTAACTGGGACTAATTTTTGATATGAAACATCCAGAAAGGCTATTAGAGATTTCTTTAAGAATAGAGTGTCAATGAATTATTATTTAGGACTACATAAAACTTAACTATACTATGAAGTTCGAATACAGGGTGCTCGAAATATTACCGGCCCCTCTCTAAGCATTACTCCTGTAGAATGTTTGTTTATGGCTCAATTTTGATTTTTTTTTGTTGGATGGATTTCACTGCAAGACCCTAACGACTTTCTTAAAATTAAATATCATTAGAGAAGATTAGATATGAACTAAACAGGCATACTACGTCCTTTAAAAAACCAAGGTTGTCATCGAGAAGCGAATATTAAACTGTCAAATTCACTCGCTAATATTAATAACAATATACCTTTCGAATTGTAAGATTTATTAATCCTGTTATTTAAAGATTCTGCTAAAAAATAAGTGTCCCTTAAAAAGCCGTTTTTATCATTATTTTTGAAACTTGTATAATTAAAATTTGTAATATGTTAAAATTATTATTATTTACAAGGTTTACAATATTTATTTTTTTAAAACAATAAAAACTGGTCATTGGTCTGGTTACTTTTAGGTACTCCCGAACACGGATCTGTTGTCATTTTCAATTTTAAAAAATCTCTAAATGTACTTCTCGATTTTCTGCTTCAAAAAACTGTGCCAGTTAGCGATGAGTTTAGTCGATGCTATATGAAAACACCGTTTCATTTCTCTTTAGTAAGATCTATCCAGCAAAAAGAATTATTAAAACTGAAGTATAAACAAACGGTCTACAGGAGCAATGCTTAAGCGAACTTCATGGAAATTAGTATAGTTAGATTTAATGTAGTCCTAAATAGAAATTCCTAATAGTCTTTCTCGAAATTTGACATCGAAAATTAATTTCAGTTGGCCATGGCTTTAGGTTGATGTAAAAAGAAATCAAAAGGTTTAGCGCGTTTTTGAGAGATCCATCCGACAAAAAAAGTTATCAAAAACAAACCGTAATCAAAGATTTTACAACGATGTACAGCCTTAAGCGGGGCGTAAACGATATTTGAAATTCGTTGCAATTTATTTTTTTTAAATCCCTAATAGTACTTCTCTCTCTTTTGTTTAACAGTCCCAGTTGGCCATGACTTTAAGTTGAAGCAATAAGCCAAACAAAGTTTTAGTGCATTTTTCAGAGATCTATCAACAAAAAAAAATTATCAAAATCGATTCATAAACAAAGATTTCACGGGGTATACAATTCTTAAATAGGAGACACTGTATAAGGCTTACTTTATATATTTCTTGTGGTGGGTTTATTAGAGCAAAACTAAATTTTGGAAGTATTTTTCTTTACTTTTTACGCTAATATCTTGTAATTCTGCTTTATTTCTTGTTAATCTATAGCATTTATGGTCCCTAATGTTGGAGGAGGGTAATCTCACGGAACACTTGACATTGATCAGAGACTATTATGCTTTGGGGAGGGGAGAGCTTTTCCAACAATTCTTGTCGGTTTCCGCCGCAAGTTTAGCGGACATTCCCGCCGATTCCATAATGCACCACATTAATTTCGTATTCCAAGAGACAGCGAGGAAAATATACGGGGAAAACGACAAGAGCTACTCTCGGTTCGAGTTGGATTCCCCCAGCATCGAGATATCACGTAAGTGGCCGCTGTTAAAGGAATGGATTGGGAGGTAGATTTATTTCAGGTGTGAACCCGTGGCAACGTCTGCAGCTAAATTTCGAAATAACTTGGCCACTGCACATAGTGTTCCACCCGCAGGTTATGGCATTGTACAACAAATTGTTCAGTTTCCTGCTGAGATTAAAAAAGACGCAAATCAATTTGCACAAAGTGTGGTCCAGTCACACATTCAGTCAACAAATGATGTAATAATCTACATTATATTCAAACGCAGACCAGACAACTCATGAAAAAAAAAGTTAAATAACCTTTTCAAATTGTCATTCTGATTGGTTAAAAATTTTACGCATCACTTTAAATATAATTTGGTCCCTTATTTTGCAGAATCGCGCTGTTACTAGATTTAACTAACAATTAGATTCAGTAAGCTTTGCGTATTTCGGAATTCAGCCTTTTAAAGTAACTGTAAAAATGATTTACGGAATACAAAGCGCTTGCGTAGAAAACTAAGGTTAGGATGAGACATCTCTTTCACCAAAATACCCCTACACAATGTTTTCCCTCATGATTTAATATGGACTTTTTGCACCTCTTGTCATCACCGGAGTTTTCTTGAATTCTAAACTAAGTTTTGTGACACATTTTTCGGAAGGGGTAAACAGATCTATGCGAGTCTTTGGGTTTGTTGTATGCAGTAGTGGCCAACTTATTTCATATTACTTTAGATCCTCTATATCTCTTTGGTTGGCTCTATACTGGGTATGCATCTGTGGTATGGTCTCTATTTACGCCTGCTATATGGATAACATCGAAGTCATTCAGAAAGTTGAACTGAGGTTTATTTTCATTCAGAAAGTATTTTTAAGATTTTTGGCTTCAAAGACCCATATCAATATCTATAATGGGTATTAGATCAACTATATTTAAAAAACAATAAATCGAAATGTCCAAAATCCCAAAAATCATGTGTCTACAGGTTGAAATATGGATCTTGTCCTAAAATTTGTATTGGACAAACAGGTAGATCCTTCAAGAAACGCATTAACGAACATATACGAGCGTTTAAAAACAATAGTCTAGATTCTAATTATGCTACACAGTTAAACACATTTTTGACGACAATTTTGATATATTACACACAACCACAAAAAGTAGAAAATTAAATTTATTGGAAGCCATGGAGATTAACAAAATGAGACATTCAACTGTATTGCTTAACGATCAATTAGATTTAAATACCTCTCCTTTATTGAACTTAAATTCTCGCAACAACATTAATTAAGGTTTTATGGTCATTTTTCGGTATATATAGTAGCAGGTAGTTTGTAAATATTACATCTGATAAAGACACGGTGTTGTCGAAACAACATGTCATAATATGTAATTTCGTGAAAATCTGAACTTTTAGTTCTTATTTATTTTGATCAACTATAGTATTGTAACCACGACCTTCAATGTTAATACTCTTCAAACCAAAAAATTCCAAAGTGATTTATTTTTCTCTTTAAGATTTTGAATGGTTAGTTATTGTCCAACATACAATTTAACGCATAATACACAAGAATACCATCGCGCAAATTAATTCTATTTATTGTTATTATTATATATTGTTGTTTGATTCTAACTGTTATACTGATATTTTCTATTTACTCTTTAATGAATGTAAAAGTTTAGTAAATTGGTTAAACCCTAAATAAATAAATGTCACTTTGGTTATTAACGGGTTTTTTACATAAATTCTTTGACGTTACCTTTGTCATTTATCAGGGCTCGATTAAGCGAAATCTCGATTGTTACTCGTTTCCTATTTCGCTCGTTCTGTGGCAACACTGTTTATCACCGCGGTACCATTAAGTGCGCGAACGTACAGCATAAATAAATTAATATATGATGTAAACGCATTTTTCTGTTTTTAAGGTGCAATAAATAATATTTAAGAGCTTTTAAAATATTACTTTGTCTGGTTCAAGGATGACGATTTAATGAAATTGAGTGATTCCTTATAGCGACCGAAGGGTGTGGATGTTGCGTCAGAATCTGATGTTCCTGGTTGATAACCTGCAGTACTATGTACAGGTGAACGTTATTGAAGCCCAGTTTTCGCTATTACTGAAAGCGGTCAAGACCGCCAACGAATTTGAGGACATTATTAAAGTTCATCAGGAGTTTGTGGTGAATTTGTTGTCAAAGGCGTTTCTTTTAATGCCCGACGAGGTAAGCGTGCTTGTGGTCACATCCCCAATGTGAATTTTTTTAATTTTAGTCTCAAAAAAGTGGCAGCAAACACAGACTTTATCAAATGCCCGCGTTGCAAAACAATGTCCCGAGCAAGGTACAACTTTTGGTTGGTGTAAAGTATGACCTTCATGTTTAATTTCAGGTTTACGATGTAATCATAAAATTACTGGAGTTGTGCGACCAGTTTTGTTTGGCTGCCAGCACTTGGAAAGGGGAAATTACTGAAGCAGATTTGGAAGGACTGGAAGCATTTCAAAAAAAGACTGACACAACCATAGAATCCTTGCTGATAGTTTTATATACTCTTCATGAGAAAGTGAGCGGCGGGCATTTGTTGCAACTGCTTTTGCATCTCGATTTCAATAAGTATTTTAGTAAAAATCGAATGGATCTGAACTTGACTAACATCTTGAAATTCTAATTTTATCCACAATAGTGATTTATTTCAAAACAATAATGGAAAGGCTATAAATAAATATATCCAAATATTTTTTTTTCTTAATAAAAGTAATCCACCTAATTATTTTGTCTTCTTTGCTACCTTCATAAATAGGACCATATCTGAAAGTGATAAGTGTAAACATAACCTCAATTTACCTGGTGATTAGTATGGCATACTTATAAAAACTATTACAACAGCGGCCAATATGAGCCACATCCAGCATTTCCATGCACGTTTGGAATGTTCTGCTAGTTTTGCAGACTCAACCGACAGTTTAGAAAAATTCTGCTCCGTTAGTTGAGTTGAATTTGCTACCACCTAAAATGCAATCGTGAAAATTTGAAGTGTCAAATTTTTTAAAAAATTTATTAACTTCTGTATCTTTTCTGATTATTTTGTTAGCCAACTTGGACTGTTCCTTAAGGGTTTTGGCAAAGTTTAACATTTCTTCGGTAACATTCTTCTGAATATCTTCATGATACCTGATAGCTTGATCTAAGTCTTTTAGGTTTGGGCCCTGGGCCGTGTTTCTATGTCGAAGGCCTTAAAAATCAAAATAATAAATGTACAACTGTAATGAGATAATTCTGATTAGGCAAAATATACACACACAGCATGAGTACCTAACAAGTCCTCTCGCATGGCTTGTGGGTCCGTAAACTCATCGTACTTGCTAGTTGTAATACCTAAAGCCCCTTTAAGGTTCATTACCCGCTTCTGATAATTTTTAATAGATTCAATTGATACACTGAAAATTAAAACACGCATATTTTACATATTTAAGTTTAACCCAGTCTAATTTACTCCGGCTGCCTTCGGAGTCCTTGCAGCATATCTTCCAGGGACTCAAGGTACTTCTCCAAATGATCCTCTTTACTTTTGCACATGAGTTCGCACCTCGCTAGGAGCCGCCTTACATTTATTTCCTGCCTAGATAATACCATAGTTTTTGAGAGTTTGTTAGAGCGTAATTATAATATATTGCTTATAATATTAAATAACATAGTGAACAAAATTTTATACGTTCACACAAATTTAACCAATCGTTTCTCAAAACACAGAACCTGTTCCTTTTTCTCTGATTAAGAATTTAGATATAAACTATGGTTAAAGGCTTTTTGTAAAATGTATTTTCAAAATTCATATTTCCACTTGGAGCTCTAACATTGCTTCAATTGCATGTTTCTGGTAAACCGTAAAGCAAATTTGAGTGATAATAACTAAAAATTAAAAATCGAATATTCGCGTTGTTACCAAATCAAAATTAACATTTATTCTTACTTCAAGAATCTATCTACGGGCAATTTTGTATTCTATGGCTATGTTCCAGGACTGATTTTGTGATGCGTGTAGGAAATTCAAGTTCCCGGGATTTTTTTTTGTGTGGACATAAAAGGGTTGAATTAAAAATTGAACATTTTTTAGTCAAGACTGACAAAGGTGCATTTCCATATTTGGGGTAACTAAAGATCAAAGGCTCCTTTCGGTGTTTCATTCTAATGATTGTATTCGAAATTGTTTTGGTGATATTTCTGTTAATAACCGGTCGTCAAACAACCAGGATTAGGAGATGTCCGAGAACACTGATGAACTGCGGGTATTATCCGAAACATCCAAATAATATTGGCTTGTTCACCCTCTCTTTATTTTTAGAATATGCTTATAAGTTTTCGAGTGTCAGAACTGCAAATGCTTCTTGGATTTGCTGGCCGAAATAAGTCTGGCAGGAAAACGGAACTTCAACAGAGAGCACTGGAACTTCTTCGAGTAAGGTCACACCCCATTCATCAGAAAATTAGAGACCTTTACAAGACAATACAATCGTAAGTCTATTTGACTATTTTATTTTCGAACTTGATAAATGGATTGTTTTTGTAAGACAATTATAAGATATTTGACATTTCATTGAGTACCTTAATCCTTGACTTTATTGTCAATTAAAATTTTATATACTTAAATGTTATAAAATTTAAATAAAATTCTGACAAACACCTTTAAAGGAGGAATATTCTTCATAATGCTATCAAAATACTATAATTAAACTTGCTTAAGTAAGTACTGAAAAAACGTTACCTGTTTGTTTTTCTTGTAAATTGTGCCCTACATTATTCCTTGAATGAACAAAACTGTAAAAAGGTGGAATGACTGAAGAGTATATTGAGGTGTTGTCTTAAAGTATGTTTCAATTTTTGTTCTGTATTTATTCTGCATTATTCAGTAATTGTGTTAATTAACCTTCCCTTGTCCTTTTCCATTTTTGTCCTATCTATTAATTTACCAAGAGGTTTATTTTGATTTATAACCACCAAATTATTGTTTAAAATTGTAATTTTCTTCTACACAGCTATTTTCCTGCAAAGAAAATCTGGTAATTAGATTAGTTAATTTAATAAGATGTAGAGACGTGTTTTCCGTTTTGAGTCTAATGTATACTGTTTTACGTAATACGTGACGTATCGTGCCTCAAGTTTTGTCAGTAGCGTCAGTTGATTTGAAAGACTTACCAATTTATTATCTTTGGTGGAACTCGAGTTAACAGCGGATGATGTTTTTTCGATTTCATTAATTGCTTTTTTAAATGAAAGTTGTTGCTAATATAAAACATCAACATACCTTCTGATAAATGGAATGTCGTTACGAGATATTTTGTTCAGGTAGTTATACTATACGTTTTTGCTTAATTTTTGTTGAGGGAAAGTTTTTGAGGCATGTTTTATTTTAAAATATTTGTTTTCCAAGTAAGTAACATGCAATTTTCTTAAAAATCTAATCAGGATTCCTTAAGTTTTAGCACAAGCGCTTAGTCGTATTCTAAAATGCAAACGACAAGTAAAATAAATGTAAAATTCTATGATCCAAATTATAGTGAAGCATTATTGTTTCGAGTTTGACCTTTTTTATGGCACATCCAGTTGTGATTAGTTAGTGCCACAGTTATACGAGTTATTCTTTCAGGCAAGGTGGAGCTTTAGCTGGCGCTCCTGCACAGACTACATCACCTGCTCTTCAAGAGTCCAACTCATCTCCTCAGTTGAGTAGCACTATGCCTCAACAACAAACTAATGTTACCAGGGCTACGGCCACAGTTCATCCTTATGTTGATACTAGGCAAATAGCTGTGGTAAGTGAGAGTATAGATACGCAACAACATTTTAGGCCTAAAAATTATTCAGAAGATTTTAAGTATACAAATTGCAAGCCGATGCTTCTGAAATACTTTAGTTAAGAAATTACTATAAAGTTTTTTATTTTTATTAAAAATATATGTGATAAAGCTTTGGGTTGGACAAGACAAGACATTAAAATGCTCAATGCTCAAAAGCAAAGTTAACTTTGGAATTAACTGAAATTAATTTGTTTTGGAGAGTTTTTTTTGAGTGGATCCTTAAATGTTTTCTTGCCAGATCTTTTTTCTTTGCTTTTTTCGATTCACTGTTTTATAATCCGTTTTTAAATACTCACTTTTTTAATTGTATGTCTTTTGCTATTGGTGTGCATTGTCTTTGGAAATCTCTTTAATTATGTCAATATATTCTTGTAGCCCGCAACGATGAAGAATGCCCGATTAAATATTAATATTAAAATTTTTGAGGGCAGGTAATTGATCGAGTCCCGAGAATATTAAAAGCTTTTTTTTAAGAATTCGGGTAGGGACACATCACTGGTTCCTTTCAAATTTTGAATTTTTTTTTTCTCAACTTTAAACATCACCCAAATCTGTTGAGAAAATAGCAAATGTTCTAACCATTTGAATGTAAAGGTTTGAAGAACAATACATTAGAACATACAGTATCAAGAATCAAAATCAAGTATCAAAATTGCAAAATTCTTCAATTGGCCGATGCAATTTTTATTCTGTGGCTCAGTGCCCGATTGAGTTCTAATATTATGGTGTTGCGAACGCAATTTTTAGTTATTTACAGTTTTTACAGTACATTTTTCCTTTCCTTAAAAAAAATGTTTATTGCATTTAAAGTTGCTTCGTTTTTATTGCATGAATTAGGAAACATCGTTGCCTTGCCAACAAACTTCTTTCAGGATAATTCAGGAATTTTCCAAAGAAAATCGCATTTCTACCCAAAACAAATTCTCAACGCTACTTGTTGTACTTGATCACATGAAGCAGTCATAAATCCCTTTGGGGGTTTCGTTATTTTTAAACCATCATTAGTAAAAGCCACTCCAAACTTTTTGTTGCATTTAGACTTTTATATATTTTTTATTCATATTGCTCAAACTCTGCAATCATGAAACTTGCGGCAAATTTGCGCCATGTTATAAAGCAATACGTTAAAAATTTCTTACCGGTGAACATTCGCAGTTTTAAGTAATTGTTGCCCTATGCAAACGTTTTTAAATTAACAAGGCTGCGAAAAAAAAAGAAATTGCAATATGTGTGTATAGAAAGAAATTTTAAAAAATAAACTGTTTTTACATGCACTTTGTCCTTTTTTTTTTTTCTAAAAAGCCCACATCTATTTTTTTTGTATGAACTTTTAACGGGATCTGGGCATGTTTTGATAAAACACTTCAGTAAAAATAGCCCATCCAAACCTAAAACTCTCGAATTGACCATGTTGGTTGTTGAACGCCGCTAATTGTTATTGATGATGGGTTTTATTACTTGAATATGTAATTTTAAATCACTTCGCGTTCGCATATTGAACTGCCTTTCCCAACATTTTTTCATTATGGTTTCAAAAGTTCGTGCGGGCAAGTTCTGGATATGTCTAGTAGCTATATGTTTTTTTTCTCTCTGCAAATACTTCTCCGCAATCTTGTGTCTATTTTGTTCTGTGCTTCAATCAAAGACTCGGCAAACGGCCATGTACAACCAGCAGGGCATGGGCCAGAACATATATTACCCCCAGTACGCGCAGCAGAAACCGAACGTCATGACTGGAAACTTCCCTGTGCATCCGGATGTACGATTCAGGCGGTTGCCGTTCTACGACATCCTAGGTAGGGCGTTCGATCGTATCGACTGCGCCGTTTCCGCACATTTTTTTTTTGCACAGCCGATCTGATCAAACCGTCGACGCTGGTTCCGCAACGAAACGAACGCATGCAAGAGCAGCCGTTCTACTTTCACCTTACGCCGCAACAGGCGACGGACATAGCGAGCTCGCGCGATATCAGGCCCGCCGTCAAATGCGACTACATCAAGCAGGTGCAGCTCAGGTTTTGTCTGCTCGAAACCACCTGCGAGCAGGAGGACTGTTTTCCGCCTCAGATCATGGTCAAAGTCAACAATAAACTATGTCCTCTTCCGGTGAGTTTTGAAAAAGAATGACTCATACATTTTGCGCCATCGTTCTAAGCATGGCGCTAACGCAGGCCATAGGCAGAAAAGCCACTCCAAACCAACTTAACCATGCTTAACCAGAACATACTTGGGGTCAAGTCTTTTGTTATCAGGGCGATGTATGAACTGCGCACCATCACTACCGAAGATACCAGATTTCAACTCATCACTAAATACCTTTCTCCAATCCTTGGCCGTCCAGTTTAAATGTCAGCTTCCACCAAACTGCTGGCTGCAAGTCTGCTAAAGTCTGGCTGGACAGCGTTGACTAATTCTTTTATTTCTCCGTTCTTCTTGCTTTGTAGTTTTCCTTTTTGTTCCCATATTAATAGAACGCTATAATTTTTTCCTTAAGATCAATAGAAAAATGTACGAGGGGTGTTCATTAAGTAAGATGACTTTTGTAATTGGGCCGGCTATGTTCATTGGATTTTCCATATTTTTTAAAATTATGTTGGTACTCATATCCCTAATATATGTTCAATATTTTTTTTTGTGAGACAGAAGAGTTAGACGTGTTTTTTGTGCCCGGCGATTTTCTGCTGTCAAAAAAAAAATGGAGAAAAGAATTTGCATGAAATTTTTTGTAAAAATGGAATGCAGTGCTGCAAAACATTTGAAATATTGACAACGGCCTATGGTGAATCTACTTTGTGCAAGAAAAAAGTTTGTTTATAAGTGGTACAAGCTGTTAAGCTGTTCCAAGACGGCCGAGAAGACGCCGATGACGAACCTTGGTCTGGACGCCCCAGCACGTCAACAACTGATGAAAGTGTTGAAGAAGTTTTGGCATGATATATGTAGCAGCAAAGTTTTGTTCCGAAACTGCTTAATTTTGGACAAAACCAGCATTGCTCAAGAGCTGTTAAACGACGTCATTGATGATCTTGATATGCTCAAAAAGGTCATAGTCAATCATGGGTTGTCACGTCGAAACCAAAACGTAGTCGTCCCAATGGAAGAACCCAAGATCGCCACGACCGAAAAAAGCACGTCACGTTCGCTTACTGCTTTTTTTTTTATTGTCTTGGCGTAGTACATCAAGAGTTGTTACCACAAAGTCGTACGGTCAATGAAGTTATGCGCCGTTTGCGGGAAGTAATACAAAGAAAACGTCTGGAATTTTGGGAAAACAATTCATGGATTTTGCATCACGATAATGCAGCTGTTCACTCATTGATGCTTGTGTCTAACTTTTTCTGTTCCCAAAATTTAGGAAACCCATGAAAGGAAGGAGGTATGGAATCATTGAGGAGATAAAGAAAAAATCGCTGGAAGAACTTCAGGCTATACCAGATATACTTCGACGATTGCAAAAAACGTTGGCACAAGTGTATCATATCTGGGGGATTACTTTGAAGGGGACAACATTAATTTTGATAAATAAATACGTACTTTTTGATAAAACTTACTTTTTGAATACACCTCGTATGCCAAGAGGCATCTTGCTATTGGAAAAACTTCGTCGTTTAAATTTCCTCGCAGAAAATTTTTGGTAAGCTGAAAGACCCACTCCTAAAGAAATGAAATCAGAAAAGAAGAAACATGTTTGGAAGTCGTTGATAAATCCAGCATTTTTGGCTGATACTATACATATAGTTAACGCAAGAATTCACTCAAATCCAGACATTTGCATTTTTTATTCGTCCAAAATCAGAAAAAGTTAGTGTTGTTGAGTGAGAAGTCTAAAATTTTTTTCTCAATATTTAATTATAAGAGGTTTTGTATGAACGACCTCAATTGCCGATTTTGCCGATAAGCTTCATATTTTGACGTTATTTTTATCAGATAGAGATGGAAATGCTTAACAATAAAATCATGATGATCGTATTTATTAAAAAAAAAATCAATGTTCTAATTATAATTTTAGAATATAAATTCTACGTGTATTAAATATGCAAGCATAATTATACTCTCCCTTTCGGGGATATTTTTAAATAATAGTATAAATATGTTTTTTGCTCTATCCTCTCTCGTCTATCAACTCAACAACAGAAAAACAGAAACTAATTAAAACTAACGAAAGACTGCAACATTATGCCACATTCAAACAATTACCCTTCTTTAGGTAGAAACGGATACAGACGCGCACTTTAATTTTGTAATTTTTCTTACAATTGTGCAACGCAATTTGTTGCAATTTTTGTCCCTCTCTACCAAATGCGTTTTCGTGTTTCAGCATAGGACTCAGTTATCAAATTGGCACTGAAAATTATTGATATACTTTACAAGATTTACGTTACGATAAAATAAATTAATTTTGAAGACATCTCCAAGAAAGTTTCTGATTGGCTAAATCTATAATACGTCGTAGGCCAATAAATAAGTCCTTTTGATAATGTTTACCTGATGTTGAAATTTTAAACAGCAGTTATTTAAAAAAAACTAATGTCTTAAAGTGCAATTTTTGGGCAAATGTGGAATCACTTTCTAGATTTGCAATGAAGGACTGAGATTTCTGTCTAGCAGGAGGCACAGTCGGCCTACTGAAGCCTAAGTGATTCCCTACTTTCATTTGCAGAAGAACATTTCTTTTGTTAATAAATACAGTAAGCCAAAAATCGGATCGGAATGGATTTCCTCTTGGCAAGGTGCTACAGTTCCTACTCAACAACTTTTTCTACTTAGATATTTTCTGTCTGATATTTAAGACTCCATAATTTTGGAAAAGTTAACTAAAAATGTTTATACTAAATTATACATCGTAGAAATTTTCTGCTGGCCTTAATTTAAACGTATTCCCAATAAAAGTGTTATCTTTATATACCATTTATCTCTATATGCCCCTTGTTCAGAATCCATTGTTTCTATTTTCAAAAGTCGGGTTAGAGACCTTTTGGGATCGCTAATTTAAATTTGCGCGTTCGCCCAGTTTCTCAAACCCGCGTAACCCATGTGACGGCTTGTGCGCAACCGCACAGGAAAAGGAGGAAGTTTTTTGACATTTGAGATTCGAACAGAGCCGATTCCGCAAGTCTGCGAGTTTCAAGCGCGAGTGTAATAAACTTGGCCCTTTCCGGAACCGACGACACGATAGCCTGCGGTAAGTCTTCACAGTGGGTCGTTGCCTATCGTGTTCGCTTTTTTTACCATTTCGCATCCCAAAAGGGTTAAGCCAACCGTGAATCGTTCGACCCTATTGGAACCCTCAACACCCCTGTATCGTATACCAAAATATCGATTTACCGCGGTTCCGATAGAATCCGATCCCGACGAATAAACCGGGGGTGGAGCCGAAACGTCCGCCCAGGCCGGTGAACATCACCCAGATGGTCAAGCTGAGTCCCACGGTGGCGAATCAGATCACAGTCTCCTGGGCCGCGGACTACGGCAGAGGCTATGCGATGACCGTCGCCCTGGTCCACAAACTTACCTCGTCGGATCTGTTGCAGCGGCTCAAGAACAAGGGGGCGAAGCATTCCGATCACACTCGCGCGCTGAGTAAGCAATTTTTTGTTTACTTGCATATAGGTATCGGATAATATAGTGCCCCAAGGACTAAGCTGCATTTGACACCATTTTCTTTTAAAACAGTGATCTCCACAGACATAACTCGTTTTGCTAGAACATTTAACAAGATCTGCGCATAATTTGAGACAATTCTGCTCTAAAAATGCTACATTCAAACTGCAATTGGTATTGGTTGGTTTGAAAAGACAGATGTTATTTATTAGAGACCAGATTTCTGGTCAATATCGCTGGCAGAATGCAATAGTGACACAACTCAAAAAAATTCTAAATTTGTCCTCTCTAGAAAAATTAAATTCTTACTTGATTATGTTTTAATAATAACAGTCATTTTATTTTTTAAAGTGACGCCTAGTGATTAAAAAATGAGTTTTACCCTAAGTGCGATACCGCAACTCCAACTAAAGTTAGAAAAGTACAATTTGCTACAAATTTTTCCAGTTTTTCTTCTAACTCAGTATTTACCCTGGTCTTGATTCTGTGGGGACTTAACTAAAGGCAAGTAAATGAAGCTATTTCTAACTATAGTAATTTAATACTTTGTTTGCCGACGTTTCGCCAATCATCCTGTTGGCTTCTTCAGAACTTGACTGAAACTGCAAAAACCGACGCAGGAGAAATCCAGAAGTTTTGTAAAAAGTATTACGTTAGCCCGTGGAAGTTTCTTTGGAAAATTATAGTAATTTAAAATGAAAATCTGTGGAAATTTTCAAATGCCCATAACGTTTTATTTCATATTTTTGAGTTGTGTATTACAGCAAGCGATATATCTAGTAGCTATGTGGTAACATAGAGCAGCGAAATCTTTTTTTTTTTCGCCCCTATTCAGTTAAGGAAAAACTGAACGACGACGGCGATGGTGAGATCGCGACTACCAGCCTGAGGGTGTCGCTTATGTGCCCGCTGGGCAAGATGCGGATGGCAACGCCTTGCCGTCCAATCACGTGCAACCATCTTCAATGTTTCGACGCGTCGCTCTTCCTACAGATGAATGAACGCAAACCGACGTGGAACTGTCCCGTCTGCGACAAGCCCGCCTTGTACGATAATTTGGTGATCGACGGGTGAGAGCTTTTTTTTATGTATTTTGCATTTTACATACGTTGAGTGGAAAGAGAAATAAATTAAAAAAATAATAGATAACAATATATGAAGAAATAATTTTAATATAATATATTGACTTTATTATGTGTTCTAAAAAAAAGCTTTATTAATACAAAATAGAAAAACTACATATTGAATCGAAGAAAAAAATGGGAACAAAGTATATATACCTGGTGCTCAAAAAGTATTCAGGCACAATTAACACACAATTAAGAAATCCAGAAGTAAGATGCCCTTGAAAAAAAAGACTTTTTAACACCAAAAATGACGTCCACCTCAACCTACTAGTGGCGCAGAGGAAGCTAGTTTGATCCTAAAGGAACAGCATTATTTTTCTATTTATTGTTAAAACGTCAGGTTTTGTCCGAAGTTTGTTTTTTGATTTTCGGTAGATAGGGCGCGATATTCTCACAAAGACGATTATAGGCACATTTTGTAAGAAATACACAGGTCAATGTTATGAATCTGACTGGAGTGTTAGGATACCTTCCTTTTTTGACTTATTTTTTCCACTTCCTACTCTAAAATATCCAATTGTGCACTAATCAGACGTGCGCCATGGGTCACTTTAAAACGACGACCTAATTAAACACTATCGCAAGACAATTCGAACCTTTCGGCTACTTTAGTCACGGTTTGGGAGCTATCAAACGTTTTCGGTATATTTAAAACACTGATGATATTTTGAAGTCATTCAAAACTAATGCTCGCGTAGAACTACGTTTATAAACTTGTTCATACACTCATTTTGGATATTTTTGTGTAAGGAGTAGAAAAAATAGGTTACAACGAAAGTATCAACACTAAAGTCATTTACCCATATATTTCTTGACAAACACGGTAAATCGGCATTTTTGCGATTATCTTCAAGTCAATATTTAAAGGCATTATTTTGTTTTTTAATCGTACAAATCTTATAAATTTTGCTAAAAAAATGTTTTATTAAAGAACAATAGGGTAAAAAACTTAACTGAAACGGTTTCATTTAAATTCTGAAGAAGCCAACAAGATGCCTGGCGAAACGTTAGCAATTTCGACTCAACCACAGGCGACGCAGGAGGAATCCAGAAGTTTTGTAAATAGTATTACAGTAGTCTGTGGAAGTTTCTTTTTAAAATATATTAAATGATGTTCACAAAATGCCTTTTATTACAAAATTGCCTATTATTATAATCATTAAAAAAATGTCTAATTCAAAAATTATAGAATCGAAAAAATATTTTATTTTATTTTAGGTTATATTTATTAATGATAGGAACAATTTTAACCTATATTAAATATGTATTAAAAAAAGATTTAGTTTTTAATTACGCATAAAGTGTAGTTCTTTTATATGAGTTGTCTATTGCAAAAATTATGATTTATTAATGAAAAAGTAAAATAATTTCGAGGATTACGTTTAATAAAAAAGATAGAACTGAGAATTTTCTGTAAATACCAATGACAGTACGTACTCTCCAAAATTAGTTATGTTGTTTAAAAAAAACAATTTTATTATTGAGTGAGAAAATAAAGTCCGTCGCCCTCCTCTAACTTTTGAATCGTTTGGTATATTGCGATGAAATTTGGGATGGTATTGTATGAGACAACTCTCTTTTTTATGGAAAAGGACATTTCCGTAACTCAAAATTACGAGTTGACATGGTTTCGATTTATTTTTGTTAATAGAATAGTGGGTCATGCGACACCTTATTTTGAAGCGATTCAATCTTGAACACATTCAATTAATTCAGCAAGACAATTATTATTACTATTATTAGCGTTATTTTATTTTTTGGTTCTTTTTTAAATTCTGCAACGTGACTTAGTTGTAAGTTGCAATAATTTTGGTGAAATACAAAGTACCAAACTAGTTGAAATTAATTACTAATTAGACTAGGTAATTACAAAAAATACATAAATAAAAATAGAGAAAAGAAAAGAATGTCTTATGAAGAACTTATGGAAATGTTAAAAATAGGGGGGGGAGGAACTGTATATATTATTTTATATTTATTGGTTTTTAGTTCTCCAGGTAATCTAATTTTACTTTAATGTTTTGTGTTTTGTTGCAGATACTTCCAAGAGGTGCTCAATTCGGCCATGCTGGCTTCTGAGTGCAACGAGATCCAGTTACTGAAAGATGGCTCGTGGAGCTGTCAGACCGAGAAAAAGCCTATCAAGTCTGAGAAGGCGGCCACCGCCCCCACTAGTATTAGCATCGACGACTCAATCGAAATTATAGAGGACAATATCGGTTAGTTTGCGACTATTCTTACAGAAAACAGTACAGGTACAGGGTGTTACATGAACTTAACAGTAAACATTGCCAAAGTGAATATTTCATGGTATTCAGAAATTATGCTATTGCCATACTGCAAATTTTGGAAACATTATATTTAAAATTCGCAACAAATTGTAACCAAATTTCTCTCTCTAATGATTTGATTTAATACAGGCTGTGAAAAAAAAATGTTCATGTAGATCCAGGTGTTATTTAAATCCCTGATTGCATCAAGCAATGACACATTTGTAGGAGTTGATTCTTCCATATGGGCCAAAACTTCCATTACAATTCGTTTCCTATAATGTTGCTTAAGATTTTGAATAATCCCTTGGTCCATTCTCAACAAATAGAATTTTCAGATTTTAGTCAACAAAGATTTTATCTAGATTTTTGAGCGACTTATCATAAATTTCACGTGTCATCCACGCTTTGTTGTTGTACTCAAAGTCGAAATCAAGTGCTTTTATGCCCTTAAAACAACATGGGTTTTTTGACTTGACGATAACTAGCAATTTCAACTTTTCTGCTGTTTTTGCCACCAAAGCATTTTTGACCTTTATACGCAAATGTTTTGTTGGGTTAACAATAAAAAAATGCCCATTTCATCTACATTAAAAATAGCTTTTTCGCGGTATTGTCCGGTTAAATCTTGGAAAAACTTAGATTGTAAATTGGTGGAAGCACTTTCAAGACAAATCGACATTTGGGCAATATTACGCCTTTTCTTAAATTTACTTAGGCACTCTACACTAGTTCAGAAATCTTCGCGACCGGAGGCAACCGCGCATTCTTTAGCTTTTTTTCTATTTAAAGTTCCCAAGAGAGAAAGATTTTTGTTACGTGCGGTAGTGACCCGCAGTAACATTTGTAATCCTTTTTCTCTTGGAGTCTTTGTTTTTCAAAACGGTTGATTTCATTTTGCATTGATTTCATATTAGTCCCCGACTGATATCGCTACAAAACTTTTGACAATTTTTACCACGCTAACTACAACTGATAAAATCTTATAAGTTTTATCTGGCGCCGATTTGGTAATTCCCCGAAATTGCTGTAGGTGTTTCCCATAAAAATTCGACTTGGTTGCTGCCTCGGTTACTGTTATGCGTTGTTTCGAGTTTTGGAAATATTCGAATTACAGAAACTCGATTTAGGGAATATTTGGAGTTAGGGAAGTTCGAGTTCAATGTACTATAAACTAGCAAGACAATATGGAAAATTTTACTGTTCATATGGGTGGTTTGAAATAGTTTGGAAACAGTGTTATACTTGTTCCAAACTGACTGTGAGAACGAACTTCATGTATCCCTCGGTGCGCGGCCTAAAATGGTCTCTTTTTTCCCCTAGAAATTGTGAGCTCGAACTCGACGGCTTCTTCCACCACTGACAAACCGAAATTGCCGGAGAAGAAGCGCGAGGTAGTCGACTTGACGTTGTCTGATTCGGACGACGACGAGCCCTTGGCGAAAAGGAAGCCACCCCCCAAGCCCGATTCGACTATCAAGTTTATCGGTGAGTGGCGCAAGAAAGTAAAAATAAAACATGCCGCGTCGCATTTTGTTCCTCGTCAATCAAAGTTTGCAGAGGAGAATTCTCACCTAATTTTAAGCTAAAAATGTGATATTTTTTTTTTTGGAATGTCGCTTCGATTTCGAAATACACGGTGAAATAATAAAAATTGATGCCTATTTTTTTTTATTTTTAAATAGCGATAGACGATATTCGAGTGATGTTTGGTACAAAGAGTTTTAGTACTTTGCTTTTCCATTTTAAGATTTACGAGGCAGGGGTCCGCGTATCGAATAACATAATTTAAAATTAATTAATTAATTTTAAACAAATTACATTTCTCTTGCAATTATTTTGCTCCTGTTGCTTTAAGGTCGGTCAGCAATGGTAATTATCATTATTTTGATAAATTATTGAGAAGCTGTGAGGATCTTCGCCAGTGAACTAATTGAAAAATTTAAAAGGACACAAAGTAAAATCCAGGCTGTCCCATTTTCGGTACTTTTGCGGGATATTTCCATTATTTTTATGGACAGAGAGTTGCGATTTTCGCGACAGTGTACCACTTTTTCGCGAAACTAAAGATGCTGTTAATAACACTTTTATAGCCCTTTTAGAGCTATCCCATTTATAAGATAACTTATTGAAAATGTGAGAACTGTCCTTTTCCCGTAGAAGTCAATTTTGCCTTCTTAATTAGCCTGGTTAAAAAGTTATCAGACACCGCTTTATTTTTTAAATTGTGCACCCTGTATATTTGTCTTTTTTCTGCCTTTTCGAAATAAGCAAATAAATGACAAGTAACAAATTTTTAATAGTAACATTCAAATTAATGACCATTTTCTTTAATGCAAAATTTTCATATTTTTATAATCCTTTAAATAGCTTTAATAAGAATCATTGGTCCCATTCGCAGATTGGAGAGGTGGAGGTGGAAACTCATTACTTTCTGCAGGAAAATATCAACCCTGCGGCACGTAGTAGGGTCACATATTATCTAATAGCTACATGCTTGGGGAGCTATCTTTGCTGTAGGTAAACAGTATAACATTGGACGAATGGAATATTTTGCAGCAGTTCTGGAATAACTTCCACAATGATTTCTAAATATGCACATACTGTCAGAATTCCTCAGTTTTTAAAAACAATATATTCCGTGTAACTAAAGCAATGTTTGACCAACTGCTATATTATTACACTGGGGCTATTTGAAAGTTAAAGTGTAAAAAAGGTAAGCCACAATTCGGAAACCAAAGAAAGGAATAAAGTAAATAATAAGGAAAGAATAATTTTCTAGGTCTTTTAGATTTTTGCCTATAATTTGAAAACATATTTTTCTGTAAGCTAAAATTTCCAAAAAAAAAAATTCAAACATTGAAAAAAATACTTTCTACCGTTTGAATGTGGACACGGACTTATACAAAAGTTTTTGCTGTCTATGCGGCCTATATCGCAGTATAAAAGAAAGTGAGATCTGAATCATAGTCTTTCAGTTATATCCAATTTTCAATAATACGGGGACCCATTTTTAAGTTTTTTTGAATTTGTGGCGCACCCTGTGTATTTTTGAAAAATTGTCAACAATATAAGTTTTTTTTGTAGTTCCTTGCATACGCGATTTTTTATTATTTTAGAATACTTCCCGACCTCATTTTCAATAGGTTCCGTCACGGGGCAAAGCTGCATACATATGCCAAATATGAAGTCGATTGTTTCAAATTTCGGACGCTTATCGTATTTCATAGGAAGGTCCAAAAAACAGTCGAAAATCGCGAAAAAAAAGATGGATACCGGCGTCGGGTCAGGGACATTTCTTATTAGCCTATGTGCCTCGTTGAGGGTTAAAGGGTTAAAAAGGAGGCAGATTTTAATTTTGTAGCTGTAACGGTTCTAAAATTATTCAGGAAAACCCAAAAGACGAGAACGGAGAACGGACAAACAGACAAAAAAAAAATTTTTTTTCGACGGCGATTATTTCTGTACCAACGGCGATCCCATAGAACCTATCGTTATCGAGATATAAAATTTTTATACGAGCGCAGATACTTTCGAAAAATTCGATTTCATCGATTTCACCCAATGTTGTGTCTGATTTTCTATTGATAATATCTAAGAATGGGAGATTATTACTAGTGTCTAATTCAATGGTAACACGTAAGTAGGGTGCAATGAGTTTAAATGGCTAAGAAAATCTCGTAGGGATTCTTGATCATGAGGCCAAATAACAAAAGTAAAATCAACGTAGTGTTTCCATAGTTTTAGTTTTAGATGGAATGTTAGAGCCAGTAAATATTTATAGGGAACAATTTTGTGGTATATTTTAGAATAAGAATAGAATAGAATAAATAATTTCAGTTTAAGGTGCACGTGTTTTTTCTCAATCCTATTCAAAAGTCGAAGTTTATGATTTTACTGATGGTAACGATCGGCCTGGCGAACACTTATCTATTAATTTATGACCGAAGACAAGGGTTCCTCTTAGGGCATGGTTTAAGTGGCTTTTGAAGTAGGTTTTGAGTTAAATAGATGTGTGTTACTTTTTAGAAAACTGAATTTTAGGACTTTAGTATCGTTAAGGATTCGGCAGGCATCGAAAGCTAAGTTTTTCCGACGGGTTCTTTTTTACGAATTCAAGGCTTTGCTTGTTGAATTTGTTACTTGTCACTAATTATCTATCTTTGTTATTGTACGTTACTTGTTTTTTTTACTAATTTGGTGAGTTTACTGAATTAAAGGGTTGTGTGTAAAAATACTGCCTTTTATTTCAACGAATCGACGTGTTGCTGAAACGGGTAGTTTTGGTGACGCGACATATTTTAGTGGCGACCGTGACAGGACAGTGACTTACCGTTTTAGTTTTGTTCGAAGATAAGTTCACGTGAAAAGTGAAAGATTGTTTTAATTAGTGAGCGAAGCGATACTCAGTGAACTTAGCGAAAACAAACTTGATGTTTAGACAGTTTGTTATTGTTATTTAAATATGGAAAAACTAAAGAAAAATCGCAGAGTACTACGCACTTCTTTCACGAAGGTAGCAAATGAGCTTTTAGATTTGCTATCTAAAACCGAAGTGGAACGTCGGCTAGTGCAGGTTTCTTGGAACATTCTCCAGCAAAAACATGAAAGTCTCAAAAAACTGGATGAGGAGATTTACAATACGATGCTGGGAGAAGACGCTAGTGAAAAAGATTTGGTGACAGAGGCTGAAAGTAACGACACCTACGAATATAAGTTTTGTGATTTGTGTGTGCGCTGTGAGGAGTTTTTCAAGCCACCCGCGATGGCTAACGAGGTGAGATCTAACCACTCATGTAGCGGTAAAAACACAGCTATAGAGCAAGGTAAGCGTAAGTTTAACTTATCGGTGCTAGAATTTAAAAGGTTTGATGGGACAATTAAAGACTGGCTTCCGTTTTGGTCCCAATTTAAGAAAATTGACGACGACCTTAATTTGGAATTAAGTGATAAGGTCGAATATTTAATCCAGGCCACAGTTCCGGGAAGCCGGGCAAGACAATTAGTGGACAGTTTTCCCGCGACTGGTAGTAAAAATTCGAAGATTGTAGACTGCTTAAAGGCGCGATTTGGTAGAGACGATCTTCAAATTGAAGTTGAAAATGAACAGCATATATCGTTGGCTGTAGAAGGGTTTGGTTTAGGTCTGAGTTAACCCCCTAGAGATGTTGCTAAAAATAAATATGCAAAGAGTTTAAGAAAGTTTATCGAAGAGGCATCTCTGATAATGGCTGACGGCGCTTTCGAATTAAGAGGGTGGGAGTACACAGGCCAAGTGCAACTAGAAGACAATTACAAAGGCACCCCGGTATTTGGTATGACATGGGACACCACCGAAGACACATTAGGTATTAAAATTGACCTCGAGCACCCCGACGAACTGCTTAGTAGGCCGGTGACAAAAAGGTTTATGTTGTCATTGACTCAGAAAATATTTGATCCTATAGGATTTACCTGTCCTGCGACACTGTATCTTAAGATTTTACTTCAACAGACTTGGGAAAAATCTATAGGTTGGGATACCCCGATAGAGGAGGAAATGGCAAATAATTTTCGATTGTGGATCAAAGAGCTCCCCTTTTTGATGGATATAAAAATTCCAAGATGCACGGACGGTGCTGTTCCTGATTGTGATGACGCTGATCGGAAAACTCTTTGCAGGAAAATGTTACATAAAGCCAAGTTAAGAGAGGACCTTCAAAAAAGATTCCGCAGCGAATACTTGGGACAGCTTCAATTGTTGCAAAAGCGTCAAGAAGGTCGGCGGATAGCGGTGGGAGAAGTCGTTCTAATAGGGAATGATCAGGATAAACGCATGAATTGGCGAATGGGGACAGTGGCTGAAATGATACGTGGTAAAGATATCAAGGTTCGCCTGGTCAAGGTTATCTCACGTAAAGGCCAATACTTACGACCGATACAGCGTCTTTATCCATTGGAGTGTTCAGAGCCTTCCATTTTCAACCTAACGAGTGACAGATCGACACACCTTCAACAGAACAACGAGACCAACAACGATCCAGTACCTTCAGCAGCAGTAAGTGAAAGTGCGGAAAAAAGTGTCGCGAATTCGAGAGTGATTGAAAGCAAAGTACCCACTAAGAAAGTGGTAACGCGAAGTGGGCGCGAAATTAAATCTCCCAAGAGATATGGTATTGCGAATACTGTATAAAGATGTATTGATTTTATATGTATGTATTTGTAATGATTTTTGTTCTTTGTTTAAGTGTCGAGATTTATGTATGAGGGTATTTTCTGCATTGTTTGGATTTTCTCTTTTGATCCCCTTATTGTATAGACTAGATGTTTTACTGAACTGTCTCGATTTCTATGAGGCCTCATTACAGAATAATCTAGGCCTCAGGTGGGAGGATGTTAGAGCCAGTAAATATTTATAGGGAACAATTTTGTGGAATATTTTAGAATAAGGGGAATTTCAGTTTAAGATGCACGTGTTTTTTCTCAATCCTATTCAAAAGTCGGAAGTT